AACCTGGGAGCCAGACATTGTTTGAAGCAATAGGGAAAAGGAGGGAGGTCAGTGAAGACTTCTTGTGGAATTGACATGTGAGATGAACTTTTAAAATGTAAATGGGAATTGTCAGGTGAATGTGAGTAAGGGTTGGAATTTTGTGGAGAGTGGGTAGTGCAAGCCAACCTGGCAGAGAGCATAGTCTGCACTGAGGTACTGAGGTCCAAAGAGGCGTATTTTAGCTTGAGAAACGGAAAGAAAGCCTGTGAGTCTGCAGAGCAGAGTGGAAGGAAGAGGGTGGGACAAATGAGGCTGAGGAGGTAAGCACGTGCCCCACTGTGCCACATCTGAAGGATGCATTAGATCTTAGTCCTCAGATCAGTGGAATATGATTGAAGGGAATTTAAACCTCTCCTCTCATGCTGTTGTGTTTGTATTTGTAGTTGACTTTTCTGTGGAAAGTGGAATGGAGAGGAGGAGACAAGAATGAATGTGGGGAGACATATTGGAGGCCCGGACGAGGATAGTGAGGCTAGAGGTGGAAATAAGGAGATGCAAAACATGTAGTCATGAAGGTATTCTTTATAGTGTTGCTTTTGCTTTGGTGCTTCTATGAAAACTTCATTGCTTGTTGCATTCCCAGTTAACCTTAATTCTTGCAGCCATTCTGCTACAATATATAAGCTTTAGACTGCTACTATAGCTTTTATCTTTTCAAAGTAGAGTTGAATGTGATCACCTATTTATTATATAGAAAATGCAGTCTCTAAAGTTCAAGAGTGAGAGTTTCAGTAATAGTGAAAGTAGATATTACAGACAGGAAGAAGGCGAGGCTGTTTGTTCCCGTAAACTTTTACTATCTTGGATATATTAAAGAGCCATTCTACTCTCAGTATGAATTGGAATCAATTTGATTTCTGTGGGTTTGGTTTGGTTTAGGCATTAAGGTATAATAGCCTCCCCCCCTTTTTAAGTAGATAAAAAATCACGGGAATTTTAAAACAATCATTTCATTGGGGGCTTGTACAACTCTTATCACAATCCATCCATCCATCCCTGGTGTCAAGCACATTTGTACATTTGTTGCCCTCATCATTCTCAAAGCATTTGAGCCCTTGGTGGCAGTTCTTCATTTTTTCCCCTCCTTTCCCCACCCTCCCAAACCCTTGATAACTTATAAATTATTGTTATTGTTTTCATGTCTTAAACTATCCGATGTCTCCCTTCACCCACTTTTCTGTTGTCCGTCCCCCAGGGAGGGGGTTATATGTAGAGTATTGTGTTCAGTTCCCCCTTTCTTTCCTACCTTCCCCTTCCCCTCCTGGTATTGCTACTTTTACTATTGGTCCTGAGGGGTTTATTTGTCCTGGATTCCCTGTGTTTCCAGCTCTTATCTGTACCAGTGTACATCCTCTGATCTAGCCAGATTTGTAAGGTAGAATTGGGGTCATGATAGTGGGAGGGGAGGAAGCATTAAAGAAATAGAGGAAAATTGTATGTTTCATCATTGCTATACTGCACCCTGACTGGCTCTTCTCTCCGCGACTCTTGTGGAAGGGGATGTCCAGTTGGCTACAGATGGGCTTTGGGTAAGGTGACCAGACATCCCGCTTTTGGTGGGACAGCCCCGCTTTTTGGCGTTTTAAAAAAGTCCCAATTTTTTGAAAGAATGCACAAGCTAGGGAATGGTCTATTTGATCCATATAGACCAAATTTTTAATCAAGAACCCCATCCCCGCCCCCGGTCAATGGTGTCCCGCTTTAAATCTGGTCACCTTAGCTTTGGGTTTCCACTCTGCACTCCCCCTCCTTCACAATGGTATGATTTTTTTGTTCTTTGATGCCTGATACCTGATCCCATTGACATCTCGTGATCACACAGGCTGGTATGCTTCTTCTATGTGGGCTTTGTACCTTCCCAGCTAGATGGCTGCTTGTTTATCTTCAACCCTTTAAGACCCCAGATACTATATCTTTTGATAGCCCTGCACCATCAGCTGTGACCCCAGATACTATATCTTTTGATAGCCCTGCACCATCAGCTGTCTTCACCACATTTGCTTAGGCACCCGCTTTGTCTTCAGTGATCGAGTCAGGAAGGTAAGCATCATGGAATGCCAGTTTTAATAGAACAAAGTGTTCTTGCATTGAGGGAGTACTTGATTAGAGGCCCAATGTCCATCTGCTACCTTAGTACTAAACCTATAAATAAGTGCACCTAGATCTATTTCCCTATCATCATATCAATATGTTTACATATGTACATGCCTGTATTTAGATCTCTGTCAATGCCCTTTGCCTCCTAGTAGTTTCCTCTATTTCCTTTTACTTTCCTCTTGTCACAGGGGGAATATTTTAAGCAAATTGTAAAAGAGCTTTAAGTGTAAACATCATTTAAGAATAATGAATTCTATTAAGAAGCGTCATTCATTGTGAGTACAGTAGGAGGAAGTGTGACTTATTACATATAGTGAGTTATCTTATTGGATTCTTAATAACATTCCCTTTATTACATACTTATCATATACCATAATTTTTTAAGTACTCAATGGCCACACAAATATTTTCTAAGATTAAGAAAAGGTTAGGAATTGTTAGTCATCCTCCTACTCTGTAAATGAGAAGCAGTGTAGTATAGTTCTTAATTTAGACACCTGTATGTGAAATGAGATTTACATTCAGTCTTTTCCACTTTCAACATACTTCACAAACATTGAAAGAAGAAACCTGTATTTAAAATTTGTAATATTTTTATATATTTGTAATGATTGTTAAGTTTTACTCATGTTAGATGTTACTAGTGTATAATGAATTGAGATGGATTTTAAACGCCTTCCAAAATTTTATTTTATTTGAGTTTGTGAAACAGAACAGTTGTAATATAAATGATTAGATATTGTATACTTCTAAATTTGTTGGAATAAGCCTTTTATGAAGTAAAGTACTTGTGCTGTAAGAATATGTAGCCTGGGAACCATACTAGTGTGAGGCAATAAGGGAGAAGGTAGGGGTAGTTGTAATATAAATGATTAGATATTGTATACTTCTAAATTTGTTGGAATAAGCCTTTTATGAAGTAAAGTAATTGTGCTGTAAGAATATGTAGGCTGGGAACCATACTAGTGTGAGGCAAAAAGGGAGAAGGTAGGGGTAGTCATTGAAGACTTCTGGGTGAAATTGTCATTTTGAGATGAATTCCAAAATGTAAGTGGGAATTGGCAAGTGAATGTGGGGGAGAGAGGGATATTTTCAAACAAAATATAATTTTAACATTTAAACAATTTTTATTAGTTGGGATTTAATACATAGAACATATACCATATTTCAGTTGCGTCAAGTAGAATTGTATAATTGCTATCACAGTCTATTTCCAATCATTCTTTTTCTACATGGACTCCTTGACATCCTCTCCCTTTTACCCCACCACCACCATGACTGTATCTCACGCACAATGAGCCCCTTAATCTACTTGCTGTTTCTATAAGTTCATCAGTCCTGGTTTCATACACCGAAAAAAGGAAAAGCATAGGACACAGCTTGAAGAGGGTGACCTCCATTGACATGACACCTCTGAGATACACTCTACTATAACCAAACAAAAACAATGTAAACCCAAAATGTAGAAAGTTCAGACGATCAAAGGCATAAATCTGATCTGAGCAGTTAAAGCTTTGTCAGTAGAGTCCCCATGATAATTTAATAATTGTAGCTTTTTTAGTGCATTATAATGTATTACCATTTTAAATGAGTGAAAACTAGCAAGCAATGCAAATTTATTAACAGTATTTTAAAATTTAAGTATAGATTTTTCAATAGCCTATATAGAGTTTTGTTCTTATAAAAATTTTAAGTATGGATAGATAAATTTGAATAAACATTCATTTAAAGATTTTAGAAGGAAGCTTAAACAGACTGTGGGGTGTTTTCTTACTAGTAAGAAAGACTCAAGATACCAAGTCCGTGTAAAAGTCTGTTTTAGTTTGTAGGTTGAGGCTGAAGATTATTATCTTGTTTAGTATATGCTTATATGCATAATTGTATTATAAATATCAATCCTTAATTTACATTACCTTAGGTCAGTTTGGCTTGTATTATTAACATAATAAATTATGGTTCATGCTCCTCCATTCTCCAGCATCATTATGGATATGGTCTTTGTCTTCCATATCTGTGTTACATTCTTAAAAGGGTAGATTGTATTTAGTGCTATTTTAAGAAAAGTAGCATTGAAAAAGTTTTGTTATAAATCTCACTTTATTTAAGGACAAATACATATTACTTTTAGATTATCTCTTTTGCTGTCTATTTCACTGATGTACTGAATTACCAGAAAGTGTTATGTTTTCCTTAATATTTCTTGAGACCTGTGTTGCATTTGAGATAGAATAGTGGCTAGCTCTTTAAAAGCAGTAAACATCTTTTTCATGTGGGTATTCTAAACGCTTTCATGTCTGGTATTTTAGATTGTTTTATACATTTTTATATGCTATTTCTGATAGCCAAGATTTTAAGTACTATCATACTCAAACAAATCATTCATATTCATATCAGTGGTATTTAGTTCAGAACTTGAGGTTTTTAACTAAAATGAAGAATATGTAAAACTGAGAACAGGTCCAGAAGGAAATAAATAGTTCAACAAGCACTCTTTTAAAAGTAAGCATATTGAGAATCCCTTGGATATTCTTGTCTCTGACCATATCGATTATGCAATCTGCCTCTTATCAGACTCATTTCAGATTTAATTGGAAAAACTAGTTTATTTTCCCATTTATTTCAATCAATTAGATAATACTTTCAAGCTTAGACATATAACTTACTTCAAATGAAACTATTAGAAAACTTAGTGAAGTAGATGTTGTTAAGCCAAGTGCTAAATATAGTAATTAATGAACAAAGCCTCTGTAGAGATAGATATGCAGTCTCTAAGTAATGTTTGTTAATAGTCATTTATGTAGATTTGTATTTTCATATAAAAATGTTTTTATAAAGCTGTCATATGATGTGTTTTCTGTAAGGTCAAAAGAAATAGACTGGCAACCTTATTTTACTACACGCATTGTAGATGATTTTGGCACACATCTGCGAGTATTCAGAAAAGCTCAACAGAAAATAACAGAGAAAGATGATCAAGTAAAAGGTAACATTTTTATTCTATTTGAAACTGAGGATTTGAACATGTTTTCCTTATCAAATACATATAATCTTGAATTGTATCTCCTTTTGTCTGCAGGTACAGCAGAAGATCTTGTAGAAACCTTCTTTGAAGTTGAAGTTGAAATGGAGAAGGAAATTTGCCGTGATCTAGTCTGCACTTCTCCCAAAGATGAAGAAGGTTACTATTGACTTTAACTCTATTGAGAACAGTGACTGTTCATGTCAATTAGAGACAAATTAGAACCAATGAGAAAAATCGAAGGGTGAAAAAGAACATAATAACGAGACTTTTCATTTTATTCTATTTGATTTTTTAACTCTTAAAAGTAGTTTGCAGACTCTAAAAAAAAATCACCTTTATAAATGTTTGCTTTTGAAATACAGTAAACACAAACATTTTGTAATTGGAATTTTATATTTTTTATCTACACTAATTTATATTACCCTTGAATTTACCATGTATACTTGTGTATAACCCTAGTTTTCCAGCACATTTTTAATGCAGCTTTTGTGATTATTTCTTCGAAGAAACATTATAAGTTTGCTTTCAAATGTGCATATATTTGTCAAGTGTACAAAGATAATTGTTATGTGATAGAAGCTCCTAAGACATACTATAGCTAAAATTTTGCTTTCCCCTCAAAAAAACTGGTTTTATTGGGAGCTAAAATAGATATTATACCATTCTATAGTTCATTCACAATAAAATGATGCTTTGAGAGGAAATAAACTTTTGTATGTGATGTTTCTTATGATTCAAAAAAACAGGCTAAGAATGAGTAAAATGTTAAAATACTCGTCTGATTAATAGTCACTATTTAGAGAATAGTGAATTAGTTTTTTCATGGATTCTGATAAGTGCTAATCACTTAAGTGATAAGCTGGTATAATTGCGAAATTACTTTCCCCCTCTATTATGTTATATGTTTTACGTTAAAGCGGATGGTGAGATTGTTTTCTAAAGTTATGTCTACCATTTCTGTTGCTAGGATTCCTCAGGGATTTGTGTGAGGTCTTACTATATTTATTGCTACCTCCTGGAGATTTCCAGAACAAGATCATGCGATATTTTGTCAGGGTAAGCTTAAATTTATACCAAATACTAGTAATAAAGACTTTAAAAGAGTGATTCTTAAAAGCTTTGTCCTTGGACCCTTTTGCATGTTTAAACCATGCCGTTACAAAGGATTAACAGGCTTTGGTTGCTTGTTTCAGTAGAGAAATAGTATGTTTCGATTGCTAACCAAAAAGTCATGGGTTCGAACCTAATAGCCACTCCAATGGAAGAAGACATGACAATGTGCTTCTGTAAAGACTTACAGCCTCCTTAGCCTGATGGGGCAGTTCTACTCTGTCCTTTCAGGCCACTATAACTGGTTTGGGATCCTCTGAGTAAAAGTACTTAGATTTGATGGGAAGTCATTCTCAGGGGTGATAAAAGTCTGGTATGTCTATAATTGCATTCATATTCATAGTGAAAGGATGAGTGTCTGTTTGGTGTCAGTCTTCATGATGCCCCAGATAGCTACTGTTAAGGACTCTATTAACATTTGACATCATTTATCTTTTCCTTCTTGAAGTTCTCTTTTCCTAGCTTTCATGTCATTGCTCTCTTCTGACTTCTTTCTTCCTTGAACTCATTTTTGTTACTTTTAAACCCCTTAACTCTTCTTCTACCTAACTCCTAAGTGAGCAGGTTCTTCAACTCTTTTCACTTCCTCCTTGGGTAAGATCATTCATCCCCATGACTTTAAATATTATTCATATGCTAGTGACCTCTAAACTCTTACCTTTAGCCCACATTTCCAGTCTGAGCTCCAGGCTATTCTGATCAGCAGCCACATGAAATCACCACGTGAAGGACACAGGTCTTGTGAATGTAATATGTCCAAACTGACAGTCTTGTTCTTCTTTCTTTCTTTCTCTTTCTCCCTTCCTCTCTTCTTTCTTTCTCTCTCTCTCTTCCTTCCTCCCTTCCTCCCTTTATCTTTCTTTCTTTCTTTCTTTCTTTCTTTCTTTCTTTCTTTCTTTCTTTCTTTCTTTCTCTCTCCCTCCCTTCCTCCCTTTCTTTCCTTCTCCCTTTCTTTCTTTCTTTCTTTTTTCTTTTCTTTCTGATTTGCTCTTACCTGTATATCCTGTTTGCATTTTTCTTTATCAGTGTATGCAATCTATTTTTGGCAAAATTTTCCTATTGGTTTTTTCCCCCCCATTGGTTTTAAAAGTTATTGTTGATTTTCCACCTTTCTCTCCCATTCCATATTTAATATCTGTTGTTTCTATCTTTAAAATACTGTCTGTAATCTGTTAATTGGTTTTTCTAGCTTTAAAGTTACTGTATTGTCCATCATTCAAGCCTCTTAATTGGCATCCTTATACTTCAATTATTCCCTTTTGCCTAATCTCCATTTTATAGTTGGAATGGTTTGAAAAAAAAATTCACATTATTTCAGTGGTTTGTGTAAAATCTTTTTTATAATTTACCATTAACCAAAACCAAACCCCCTACCATAAAGTCATTTCCAAATATATAGCGGCCCTCTAGAGCATCGTTGAATCCTAGGGTTTCTGAGACCGTAAATCTTTTTAAAAAAAAATACTTTTATCATATTTTATTGGGGGCTCATATAGCTGTTATCACAATCCATACATGAATCCATTGTGTCAAGTACATTTATACATATGTTGCCATCATTTTCAAAACATTTTCTTTCTACTTGAGCCCTTGATATCAGCTCCTCATTCTTTCCCTCCCTCTTGAACTGTAGATCTTCATGGCAGCCGACAGACTACTTTTTCTTGTGGAGCAGCTGGTGCCTTCCAGCTGCTGGAGTAGCCTGGTGGTGTAACTAACTAGCCACCGGGGGCGCCCTCTGCTACTGACAGCACTTAAAATCCTGAAGGGCTCTACAAGGCCTCCCACAATGTGGCAATGCTGATCTTTCTATTTCACTGCATTCCTCAGCAGTTCTCCTCTGAAAAGTGCTATTCTTTACCCCCTACTTTGGTCGTCTCATACTTTTTTTTTCTTTTAAACAAAGAATGATCCTCCCCTTTCTTTGGTTAATTTGTGCTTTTCCCTCACATTTCACTAAAGTCACTCACTTCCTTAGAGATACCACCTTTGAACATCCTATCTAGATGAGGCAAACCGATAACCATTGGACTACTGATTGAACGGTTGGTGGGTCTAACCCACCTGCTAGTCCTGTGGCACAAAGGCTTGGCAGTTTGCTTCCATAATGATCTCAGCCAAGAAACTCCTGTGGCAAAGTTCTACTTTGTAATGGGGTTTCTGGGAACTTTTTCTGAAGTATTCTTGCTGTTTGTTGCCCTCCAGCCAATATTTCTTTCTTTTTTTTTTACTGTAATTAAGGATAATTATAAAGCACTATAGTCACTGAATCAGTTTTGTTTTCCTTTCAAAATGATAGAAATAGAAGTTCTCTCTCATTTTTCTTTTGTGAGTAATTGGTTACATCCAAGTTGTACCAGAGGGTGACATTTTTGGAGCTCTTCTTTCTCATTTTTTGTGTGTAGATTACATAAGCCAGAATATTTATTTGAGATCATTGTTACTGAATACCCTGTTTATTTCCATAAGTACACTTTATTCATTTAAAGATTTACATCCTTTATAATTTTGCACCTTTTAGACGTTCTTATTTGGAAGCTGGTGCTGCATAATAAACATTCTGAGTCTAAAAGTGTATATGTAAATGTGTACCTATTTTAGAATGTTTAGAGCTCTCACTAGGTCCTGTACCAGGATTGTTGAGCCATATGACTAGCCTATGACTAACCAAGCTACTTTATGAAATAGATTCGGAAGAGTGAAATTAGAAAATCAAAGTCATTTTCTCAGACACAACAACTAGTTGCATTAACTCAAAATAGACAATAAGTATACTCAGAAAATTTCTCCATGCATTATTGTCTCATTTTAAAAAACACATTGGAAAATGTATTCTTTGTGAATTTTCTCCTTACATAATAATACATTTAAAATTTTGAACATATGGAATCAAAGGCATAATTTGAAGAAATATGTAAGTAATTATAATTTTCAAAGTTTTATAGACTAAAGTTTCTATCTCAGATAAGTGAAATAATGTCTTGTAACGTGGTAATGGAAAGTATATCAGAAAACATTTCAAAATGTTCCCAAAGCTTCCCTGAGTGTGTCTTTGCAATTATTAGCTTCTTATGATGTGATATTTGCTAGAGATGCCTAATGCTTTAAAAAGTCAGATTTACATAAAATATTCCTATGAGGGAAATTAAAGTGAAGATCACTTTCCATAAACTTATACCATAACGTGTCCAAAAAATTAGAGATTTGGAACGAGAGAATAACCAAATTGTTTCTTTACTTAAAAAAGCAAAACATCCTGATAACTATTAACTTCTCTGGTACGCTTTAGATTTTGTTTAGTAAAATTGGATAACATTGTTATGTAATGGATTCAGCACTATATTCCTACTCTGTTTTCATTCATTTAGTATTTACTAAGTATTTACTATAGATAAGACAGTGAATTTGATCAAACAGAGGGAGTAAATATTTTTGAAGATAGGTAAGTCCATCTGAGCAATCTCTCAGAGAATTCTCATACGTTGTAGTTTTTAGAGATGTATAAGCTAGTTTCATAAAATGGAAAGTGATAAATGCCATACATACAGGACATGAGTGTATTTTGAGCATATAAGTGAAAAAGTGTTCATCTGGAATGATGACAATTTATTTAATAGGAGAATTGATTCTGCAGTCAGTCCTTGAAGGAAGGGCAGAATTTTAATAGGTAGGAGCACATACAGCTGCAGAGGATGGAACGTATGTTCTATATTCTAGAGAATGGTGAGTAGATTGTATTAACATTTGTTATTTTATCTTATTTTTATTAGGAAAAATCTGAAACAGAAAAGTATAGAGAATAATACTTTGAGAGTTATGCAGAAATTATTCAGATTTGACCAATGTTAGTATTTTACTAGTTTCTTTTCTCATTTAAAATAACCATAATCTTAAGATTGATGTTACCTTTTATTTTCTGATTGTATACTTTCAGTCTAGACGTTTGAATCTTTAGACACCACAGCTACAGTCCTAGGTTGACATAAACAGCAACACACTTTTAGAAATGTCCTTGTGCTTTTTTCATTCAATACTAGTTGTCACTGTGGTTAGCTTTATTTCATTGGTTTTACCGATGAATAGTAGTAGTTCATCTTTTTATAAGCTTATGTTGATTATAAAGTTTGACTTTTACATATACCATACCTTTACTAACATTCTGTTAGTAAATTTATGTTATGCTATATATTTGAGAAGTATATTACATGAATTCTAAAATTTTTACTTTTTCCCCCAGGAAATCCTTGCACGAGGAATTCTTCTTCCATTAATAAACCAACTCAGTGATCCTGATTATATTAATCAGTATGTCATATGGATGGTAAGTACTTTTAAAAATTACTTCTATTTTTAAGATGTAGAGATCAGTGTGATTAATAATTTATTAAAGAAATTAAGAAAAATGTTTAAGGAAAAATGTTTTAAAAGATAGTCCTTATATTCCCAATATTTCTATTTACTAATATGTTGAATGTGTTAGGCAAATTGTGTTTTTTACAAATGAGATTTCAGTGCATGCCTATGTATCTAATGACTTTTAAAGTTACTTTTGGTTTTAAATACAACTTATTTAAACTACTTAAACTGGGATATACTTCATATTTAATACAGTGTAATGGGGGAAGGGATGCACAGTGAGGGATACTCGGCAGAAAATTTGTGTTCTGCGTTGTTTCTTTCTGGTACTTTAGTACGTCTGTATGCAAATAGTACAAATAATAGTTTTCTCATCCTTCGATCATATTAAAATTTTACCAGAATAGATTAGGAATAATTTTTATTCCTATTTATATATTTTTTTATATTTCAGTTTTTTTGTTACTATAGTGAATAGCACTAAACACATAGTGGTGCTCAAAATTCTATTTTCCTCTTAATAGATGTGTAGATTGTACTAACGCATTTATTAGTTTATTGTCTTTATTAGGAAAAGTCTGAAATAGAAAAGTCTAGAGAATAATACATTAAACAGTTGTACACTAACCATTCAGATTTAACTGTTAGTATTTTACTATAGTTGCTCTTTTCAACCATTAAATAACCATTATCTTAAAACTGATGTGTAGCCTTTTAAATAATTTTATTTTCAGATCCGTGATTCTAATTGCAACTATGAGGCCTTTATGAATATTATTAAATTGAGTGACAATATTGGAGAATTAGAAGCAGTCAGAGATAAGGCAGCAGAAGAATTACAGTATCTTAGATCTCTAGATACAGCTGGAGATGGTAAGAATTTAAGTATAAAACTTTTCCTTTCTTAATGATTACTGCATCTTCAAATGAAATTTTGATTGACTTAAATGTTATGTGTTGCTATTAATTGTTTTATTTTAACTAAATATTCCTTATTATGTTAACATGTGCTAAAATATACCATTAGACTGTTGTAGGAGTGATCCTTAAAGATAACTGGCATGGCTTAATTTTAATTAAGTAATAACTATATGTAATATTAGATAGTCTCTTTTATTGCTCCAGGGATTGATTGATTAAGTTACATTAAATACACGTTTAAAATGTCTCACAGATAACATTACTGCTTTCTAATTCATAATCAATTTGTAATTTGTGTTTAGATATCAACACTATAAAAAATCAAATAAATAGCCTGTTATTTGTAAAGAAAGTATGTGACTCAAGAATACAGCGGTTGCAATCAGGCAAAGTAAGTATTTGGGAATTAATATTTAGTTGTAAATGCTTTAATAAGTTAAAATGATCAGCGAATGCCAAGAAGTTGGAAATTAACCAGTGCTCCATCCTACAAAAAGCATACTGGAAAGTTTTCTTTTACATAAGATAGTGTAATAAGTGCTTGCTAAACCAAACTCAAGAGATTAAAATCCTGCCAGAAATATACTAAAATGATTCTAAATTACTATACAGTGAACTGTTTATCGCGGTTAATCGGTACTAGACCCTACCGTGATAAATGAAATTCCGCGAAGTAGGATTCCTTATTTGTAAATCAAATATTTTCGTAGTTAGAGCACAGAGGACATGAAAAAACACCCTTTAGTCACCATTACACTCGTCTTACCCAATTTATTAAACGAAAAAGGCAAAATACAGTAAAACATTTTGGACATTACAATTATAATTTATTATTTATTATATTATTTATGGCATCTAGTTTACAGTATTACATATTTCACATACAGTATTATTATACATAGTTCGTACAAATACTGTAATCAATGGCGTGCAACCTCCGTGATTTTCTTGCCATTTTTGATCATATCCAAAAGTTTTACCTTTTCCTGGATGGTGAGCATCTTCCTCTGGCGCTTATTTTTATTGTCAGAAGGCTTAGAAGAAGCAGCTCGTTTAGGAGCCATCATAGGGCTTAGATAAAATTTCTTAAAAATCGCAAACAATTACAGTACACTGTACAAAAGCAAAAATGCATCTGATCCGTAGCTCCGATACGTAGCGATGCAGACAGAAGTGTGTACAGTATGAGCCAATCAGTGGCAGTAATGACAGAGCATGTGCTGTTACGCAAAAACCGCGATAGAGTGAAGCCGCGGAAGTCGAAGCGCGAAGTGGCGAGGGTTCACTGTATATCTTTATATATCTATTCAATTAATTATCCAATGATTATTGAATTTTGTAAGTTGGGCATTATTTTTGGTGGACTACATATTTAACATTTCTCTTCATGGAGTTCACATTTTAATATGAAAAAAACCAATTAGAACATTACTACGTAATGCTATGTAGAACTATCTGAAGGAGCTCTAGTGGCACAGTCGTTACAGTGAACAGCTGCTAACCAAACTATCAACAGTTTGAACCACCATCCTGTCCTCAGGAGAATGGTGTGGTCAGTGTGCTTTCATGAAAGATTAGAGCTTTTGACCATCGTCTGTTTATTGAAAGTCAATGAAACTGAACTATATTTTCTGAAAGAGTGAATGTAGGTAGCAAAAATATAGAGGGCTCTAAAAAGTTTATTGCATAATGGAATTAAAAGATAGTGGAATTTTTCCATGAACTTTTTGAATCTATCTTGTCTTCAGGAGCATTTCAGTGACTAGAGTCTAGGGCAGTGGTTCTCAGCCTTCCTAATGCCATGACCCTTTAAAACAGTTCTTCATGTTGTGGTGACCCCCCAACCATAAAATTACTTTTGTTGTTACTTATAACTATAATTTTGCTACTGTTATGAATCAGGCGACGCTTATGAAAGGGTCGTTTGACCCCCCCAAAGGTTGAGAACCATTGATGTAGGGCATGGATGGTAGAGGTTCCAGCCAAAGAAATAAAAGGTTAAATGGCTAGTGAGATTGAAAAATCTGGGAGTGGGATATCCTAGAAGTCAAATAACAATGTCTGTAAGGGGTGCAAGAGGACAGGTACGGCAAAGACTGCTAAGAAGTAGGTTAAGATGAGCCTGAGACTTGACCGTTGAATTTGCCACTTTGGGGATTATTGGTAATCTAATGAGATGAGGGCAGCTCTAGTAGAATGACAGAGAAAATTGCTGATTGAAGTCATCAGTTCCAGGAAAGAACAGGAAGAGAAAAGTTGGAGATGGTGATTACAGATAGCCCTTAGGAAGAGTGTTACTACTGCAGAGAGAATAGATTTTTAAAATTTTCCAATATGAGGGTTAGAACAAAAAGCAAAGCTATCAACATGTGAAAGTATTGTTTCTCATTGTATCTTCCACCTAGGTCTATACAATTCTGAAAGTAATATTTTTATCCACTCATTGAATTATGTATTAAAAGAAGCTAGAAGTAGGGAAGATCAGGGGTACAGTATGGACGGTGTAAGATTTCCCAGCAAAATTCTCCTGGGACAGTGCTTCCTACCCTCAAAGACTGAGCAGTAGGTGCATTGTCATAATTGGAAAAAATTCTTCAGTGCAACTTCCTGGACTTTTACTCACTGATGAATGCAGTTTTAATTTTCTTAAAACTTCTTCATAATAAATCTTCATGATTGTCATATGTCCTCTGAGCAAACCTATCATGATTTCCTTTAGAATCTCAAAAAGAACAATCACTATAGCATACGTCTATGCAGACCTCTTTCCCTTTACCTAAACTGGCCCAGCATACCCCCATGGAAGCCATGGTTATGCTTGGATCTTTGCTTTGAAGCTACTCTTTAAGCAGACCAAGACAAGTCTATTGGAGAGCTTGCCTGGAACCATTTGGCACAAACCCCTGCATGTTTGATCTGGAGCCCTAGGAAGAGTACTTTGATGTATCCTTCAATCTATTTCTTTTAAATAGATGTGCGTACTTGGGTTTGAGAAGTAGATCTGGATTTTGGAGTATAGAGAGACCAGTGAGAAAAATCCACAGTAACATCATGGTTCTTGTGGAAAAGACAGTAGGCTTTGAGCAACCTTTATGTTCTTTAGTTTCCTCGTCTGATAAATGGACTTCGTTATATTTAATCAGTAGGATTGCTGTTGAAATAAATGAAATAATGTGTACTTAGCACCTAGAGAAGGGAATAATATGTTCCACTTTAGTGGGGAATATTTTACTTACAGTTATGTAAAGATCCTTAACATAATCGAATATAGATGAAATATTAACCTGTCTGCACTTTATCTGTAGGAAATAAATACTGTGAAACTGGCAGCCAACTTTGGGAAACTTTGCACAGTCCCCCTGGACAGCATTCTTGTAGACAATGTTGCTCTACAATTTTTTATGGGTAGGTACAGCCATCTTGTGAAGACTAGAGTGCATGAAATGTTTAACAGTTTTAAGTAGTTAATATTACACATGATAGTATGGTGGTAGAATTCTCACCTTTCATGCTGGAATTCTGGGTTCACCTCCCAGTCAGTGCACTTCATTTGTAGTCTCCACTCCTTTGCTAGTGGAGGCTTACATTTTGCTAAGATATGGAACAGGTTTTATCTGAGCTTCTAGACCAAGACAGACTAGGAAGAAAGGTCTGGCAACCTATTTCCTGAAAATTAGCTAGTGAAAACTCTGGATCACAGAGGACTGATGTGCAATCAGTAGTGGGGATGAAAAGATACCAAGCAACCTTTTGTTCCATTGTACAGGGGTCCCTGTGAGTCAGGAGCAGATCTGATAGCTGCTAGCAATATTAAACATACCCAAGCGCGTCCTTTTCTCTATATCCTCTGAAATGTTTGGTTTTCTTTGGAAATTATGAAGGTAGATATTTATTTTGCTGTGCAGGAAATGATGTTTTTATTATAAGTGCACATTTGCTAAGCTGCAAATAAACTATAGGAGCTTGTACTATAAATTCATTGAGAGTATTCAGAGCTCATTGTACACATAATCTATTGATAACAGTTTTGTACATGAGTGGAATAGGGACATTCCTTTTATGCCGTATATTCACACATGCACACACATACAGAGATGTATAGGAGCCCTGTGTCACAAGTGGTTAAATGTGCCACTGCTAAATGAAAGGTAATGGGATTCGAGCCCAACATCCATCCATTCCAGGGGAGAAAGAATTTGACATTCTCCTTTTGAAAAGATTTGTAGCTTTAGGAACCATATGGGGTAGAGGCTACATTAAAAGTCAGAATTGACCTGATGTCAATGAGTTTTATGTACTCATGGACATATATACACACATGTATGTATATATATATACACATATGTATGTATATATATATACACATATATATTTTATTAATTTTACATTACAATTCCTTTTATCTCGAGGACATTTTCAACAGAACTCTTTAATTCTTTATTTTTAGGATCAAAGATGTAGGTGCATGACTTTCAGAGCCCAAGTCCTCATTTTTAATATCTGGAAGTATTTATAATCTTAATTAGGTAAAGAACCTGGAATCTTGGTGAAATTTCTTATTTGTGATGAGAACTTATTATATAACAAATTATTTCTTAAAGAGTGTATCATGAAATACAGATTTTTAAAATCTATATGCTTTCATAAGTATTTCCTACATAACTAGACTTTTTAGCTTAACCAGTTTTTGTTTTAACCATTTTGTCAACTCAGGTATTTGTAAACATCTTCACAATGTAGAATTTTGTATACTTGAAAGTTTGTTTTCTGCCTGCATGTAGCTCATGCACATAGAATGTGTAGCTTTAATACCTGCTGTTCCAAATTTTGTTTGCTAGATTACATGCAGCAAACTGGAAGTCAAGCACATCTCTTCTTCTGGCTGACCGTGGAAGGATACCGGGTCACAGCCCAGCAGCAGCTAGAGGTTTTATTAAGTCGTCAGAAAGATGGAAAACATCAAACCAACCAAACCAAAGGTCTTTTAAGAGCAGCTGCTTTTGGAATTTATGAGCAGTATTTATCAGAAAAGGTAAAGACACATTTTGATTACTGTTTTCTTCTCTTTGTAAAACTTGCAAAGAGCCATTATCTATACTGAGTAAAACTAACTCTCAAATGACAAGTCACATAATCATGACAGCAGTCTTTTTATCTTCGTCTTACAAATGAAGAAACTGATCTTTAGAAAACCAAATTAGTTTGGGTAGGGTTGCGCAATACATGTGAGAGCCATGATTTAATGTCAAACAAAGTTTAGATTCAAAGATACAAGAGGTGGAAAGTAAAATAATGGAAAAAGATAATACATGGAAACAATAACCAAAACAGAACTAGAATACCTCTACCAGTACTGTCACTCCTTTAGTTAGGTTCCAAAGACCAGATTATTAAGTGAAAATCAGCAAAAATGAAATATGCTCATATCAGATTACAAAATGGAGGATAACTGCATTGTTAAATAACTAGTAATTTACATCAGTATATTATTGACAAATTACATCATTACATACCTTCCAAACAAATCGGCTTGTAACCTAAACTGTTGTGGCCAGCATTACTATCACCTAGAACCTTGGGGTCTGTTTGTGCCAACTATGTTGTTACTGCATATTAATACTTAACATAATCAGATAGTCTCCCTGCCATAGAGTTGATTCTGACTCAAAACAATCCTATGGAAGACGATAGGCCTGCCCCTGTGGATTTCTGAGACTGATATTGTACGGGGGAGTGGAAAGCAGTGTCTTTGTTGGTGGTTCTGAATTGCTGACCTTGTGCTTAGCCGCTCAAAACCTAACCACTAGGCTGTATTGATGGCGGAAAATCACTGTCCTTGAGCCAAGACTGATTGATAGCAGCTCTGTAGGACAGTGTAGTACTGTCCCTGTGAGTTACAGACTGTAATTCATGCATAAAATAAAAGTTGGTGGAATGGAAAGAAGAAATAGAAATGATCAGTTTTTAAAAATTTCTGTGTGTGTGTGTGTGTTTTTAGGAGACATGTTTTCCCTTTGTTCTGGTTGCTTTTAATATTAAATTTTTTTTATTATTTTAGCAGTTTCTCTTTTATGTATACTTCTTGAGGTTTTTATTGCTTCCTGAATCTGTGACTTTGTGCCTTAGTTTTGAAAAAAGATCAGTGTTATAAAATTCTTTGTTCTCTTCCGTATTTTTTTTCTTCCCATCTGGCATTCCAATTTTATACTTTTCATCATATATCCTATGTATCTATGCTCTCTATTGTCTTTCTTTGCATTATTCTGAATATGTTCTCTTGATTAATATTTCTGTTCAGAAAGTTTCTCTTCGGCTGTGTCTAATTTAAACCTCCTTATCCAGTCATTTGTTTCAGTTTTGCAATGTTTGATTATTGTTGCAGTGTTTTATTTCACTACTAAAATCTTCAGACTTTTTTTTTGTATTTTTAGTGTTTATGTTTTATCGTTTCATTCTTTTTATTCTCATGTACCTGGTTAGTTACAATTCAGTGCAAAATATTGAATATAGAAAATTAATGAAATTATCTTGATAGGTAATATTATCTTATTCCACTGAAGATTTCCATTGACGTTAGATGTGTAGTAATGTTTTTTTTTCTTCTTTAACATTTTATTAGGGGCTCATACAACTGTTATCCCAATCCATACACACATCAATTGTGTAAAGTGCATTTGTACATCGTTTCTCAAAACATTTTCTCTCCATTTAAACCCCCGACATTAGGTCCTCATTTTTCCCCTCCCTCCCCGCTCCCCCCTCCCGCATGAGCCCTTGATAGTTTATAAATGGGTATTTTGTCATATCTTGCCCTGTCCGACGTCTCCCTTCATCCACTTTTCGGTTGTCTGTCCCCCAGGGAGGAGGTCACACACAGTTCCATGTAATCGGTTCCCTCTTTCCTACCCATTCTCCCTTTACCCTCCCTGTTTTGCCACTCACACCACTGGTCCTATAGGGCTCATCCGTCCTGGATTCCCTGTATTTTCAGTTCCTATCTGTACCAGTGTACCTCCTCTGGTCTAGCCAGTCTTGCAAGATCGAATTCGAGTCATGGTAGTGGGAGCGGGGAGGAAACCTTTAGGAACTAGAGGAAGATTGTATTTCTCATCATTGTTACATCGCACCCTGACTGGCTCATCTCCTCCCCGAGACCCCTCTGCAGGGGGATCTTCAGTGGCCTACTAATGGGCTTTGGATCTCCACTCCGCACTACCCCTATCATTCACTATGGTAAGATTTTTTGTTCTGATGATGCTTTACACCTGATCCCCTCGACACCTCGTGGTTGCATAGGCTGTTGTGCTTTTTCCATGTGGGCTTTGTTGCTTCTGAGCTTGATGGCCGCTTGATTACCTTCAAGCCTTTAAGACCCCAGACGCTATACTTTTTGATAGCCGGGCACCATCAGCTTTCTTCGCCACATTTGCTTATGCACCCATTTGTCTTCAGTGATCCGTTCGACACCCCGTGATCACACAGGTTGATATGTTGTTCCATGTGAGCTTTGTTGCTTCTGAGCTAGATGGCCGCTTGTTTACCTTCAAGCTTTTAAGACCCCAGACGCTATATCTTTTGATAGCCGAGATGTGTAGTAATGTTATTAGAAACCCAGACCTCCTGAATCCCATTTGAGATTGAGATGATTACAACTTGAGCCTTTGAGAACCAATGTAATTTTTCATTACCTATTCCAGGGATTTACTTCTTCTTTTCTTAGCCTTTGGGCACATCAAAAGTTTTTCATATTCTTTCACACATCTACTTGAATTACCAGACACATCTATGGGAAAGATAGGTCTAAATGCTGAATCTTTCGCATGTGAAATTTTAATTTTATGGTTTTTCAGTGTTTTGGCTTTTTCTCAGCAGAATGGTTATTTTGATTTGACTCATAGTTATCCTGTGCAGGGTTTTTGAGGCTGTACAAATCATTAGAGGGGCAAACAGCCTCGTCTTTGGCCAACAGAGTGGCTGGTGGCTTTGTATCACTAACCTTGCAGATGGCGTTTCAAAGTGTACCCAGCACTCCTTTAGTAACACCAGCACTCCTTTAGGTTTAGGCAAAAAAATCAGACCCACTGCCATTGATTCGATTCCGCCTCATTGCAACCCATATAGGATTTCTGATGTGTAAATCTTTAGGGGTGCAGACACCCTCATCTTTCTTTGGTGAGAATCACCACACTTGCAGTTGGCAATCCAATACTACCTGGAAGAGCCAGGGACATTCCTGTATGGTATAAGACAAAAAGTATCAAAAGATGCCTAATGCGAGGTAGACAGACCAAATCAAGGAAGTCATTTTCAAAAGCAGGATTGTGTTTTGTGTTGTTGTTAGTGTATCGAGTCTGCTGTGACCCTTGACTACCTTACATACTCACCAGAATGCAACACTGACCGGTCCTGAGCCATGCTCACCATTGTTCCTATGCCTGAGCCCATTGATGTAGACACTATGTCAGTCCGTTTTTTTGTACGGCATTCATCTTTTTGGCCAGCTCTACACTTTTACCAATACCAATTTATTTCATACCAATATATGAAATAAATTTGAAAATGCTTCAAAACTTTAATGCATAGCTTCAAAGCATTTTCAAATGCATTTCTTAAGCAGTATTAATCTATCATGAAAGTTAATGCTCCCATTGTATGGATTCCAATTCACAGTGATCCCGTTTAAAATTTCTTAGTCTATAAATTTTCATTGCACAGGCAGCCTTCCTTATCTGCCTCCCGAAGAGTGGCTGGTGTTTGAACTGCCAACCTTTTGGTTGACAGCCTTTCAACACTTAGCCGAGAGTGCTCTAGGGTTCCCTATTAAAGTTAATGCTCTCTATAAACTTTAGGTTTTGAAGGGAATGAAAGAATAATCTGATTAGCCTTATTTAAAAAATCCAGTTGGTGCGATCACGAGGTGTCGAAGGGCTCAGGTACCAGGCATCATCAGAACAAAAAATTATAGTGAATGAGGAGGGGAGTGCCGATTGGAGACCCAAAGCCCATCTGCAGGCCACTGGACATCCCCTTCCAGGGAGGAGATGAGCCAGTCAGGGTGCGATGTAGCAACAATGAAAAATACAACTTTCCTCTAGTTCCTAAATACTTCCTCCTCCCCCACTATCATGATCCCAATTCTACCTTACAAATCTGGCTAGACCAGAGGAACTACACTGGTACAGATAGGAACTGGAAACACAGGGAATCCAGGGCAGATGATCCCTTCAGGACCAGTGGTGTGAGTGATGATACTGGGAGGGTGGAGGGGAGGGTGGGTTGGAAAGTTAACCGATGACAAGGATCTCCATGTGACCTCCTCCCTGGGGGACGGACAACAGAAAATTGGGTGAAGGGAGACGTTGGACAGGGCAAGATAAGACAAAATAATAATTTATAAATTATCAAGGGTTCATGATGGAGTGGGGAGCGGATAGGGAGGGGAAAAATGAGCTGATGCCAGGGGCTTAGGTGGAGAGCAAATGTTTTGAGAATGATGAGGGCAATGAATGTACAAATATGCTTTACACAATTGATGTATGTGTGGATTGTGATAAGAGTTGTATGAGCCCTTAATAAAGTGATTAAAAAAATAATCCAGTTGGAGGGTGGAGACAATTACAGCTTTTCTGCATTATCCAACATTCAACTTTGTGTGTTTCAGAGCAGAAGTTGGAATTAATGTTGGGAGTTTTACCCAGTGGATCAGCACCAACATTGGGTCATAAGGGTTTTTAAGGTGCCAACAAAACAATTTCAAAAGATTAGCTACCTGATTTGGACTGGATAGGCCAAAAAGTGTGGCTAATAGGGAACTGGCAAATTAGAAGAAAATGGGAAGTGCCAAAGAGCTAGGAGGTTGAGAAGCAAATGAGCTTGTTAATAATATGGGAGAAGAGGGGCGTGAATATAAAAAGATTAATATATGAAATGATGCTAGGAAAGAAATTAGAAGTAATGTAGGGCATAGTAAGCATACCAGATCATAGATGCTGATGTACATTAACTGTGTCGTGGAGCAGAGCTGAGACATATCTACTGTGTAAATAAGATTATTTTCTGTGAACTACTGATTTTATTGAGAGCTACCAGAAAAAAGAACAGCTGTAATTATAGGATAACTTTAAGATTTAAAAACATTACAGATAATGCTTTAACTACTTAAGATGTAAAAGCTACGAAATGCATACCTAAATACAAATATAAATGCTAAACAGATTCATATCATGTGATGTATAAATCAGAAAAAAGGAACAAACTATAGTGGTGTTTGTAATCTGGATTAATCTTAGTGATGCAATATTAAATGAACTAAGTAAGCCCCAGAGGATTTGTATACTTTACAAGTAAAAGCAACTAAAATTGTTGATCACTTGATATTCCCTTTGATACGAAGCAGTGAGATTTGGGATGTTGGAAGCAGAGGAGAAAATAGGTCTAGATAAAATATCATTTAAGTTGTCTTACTCTGGTTAACCAATAGTGTGTTCATATATTTTTTTGTGTAACCCGTAAAAATACAGAAGTATAAATAAAAGAGGGTACTACATTGTACTACTACAGTGATGTGTGTATGCCAGGGTGAGTCACTGTTCTGGTTTTAGCGTGTGCTCATATATAAAGTAATTTTTCACATTAGAAGGTCATATTTTATTTATCTGTGTAGTATGTATTTTCAAATGGAAAAAATCACAGAACAAGTTAAAATTTTGGATTATTTTCCTTCCCACATCACAGTGAAACTTTTCTTTAATTTTGATTATAATACCAAATTTAGGATAAAGGCACTGCATTTAAAAAACTATTCAAAAATATTATTGCTCTAATGTCAAATGATAAGCCACACATGGCTATTATTTTAATACATATCCAGTACTATTAAATACTAAACACTAATTCTTTTTTTTTTTTCGGTTTGCATAATAAAAATTTATTGAGAATTTCTGGGACGACGGTTCTCTCCTCCCAGCCTTGAGGGAGGGAACTCACCCAGTATGGAATAAATCACTGAGAAATTAATCACACTCGGTTCCAACACCCTTGGAGAAATGGGGAGAGGACAGTCATTTCCCTGAAAAAAGGGCCAGTCCTTCAATAACCTTGGAGGGTTGGGGAGGGGCAGAGAGGGGACCATCATGGTGCTGGACAGGCGAGGGGTGTCCAGGGACCCCAGAGCTGACTCCTCCAAGACCAGGAAGAGGTGGCTCCAAGTCGTCTCAGGTGAAGCTCTCACTCAGCAGGCTCCTTTCTTAGCCTTGATGAGGCTGTCGCTTCCCCGCATGAAGCTCTCTTCCTGCAGGTTGAGCACGAGGTTGTCAGCAGTGAGATAGATAAGATTCTGTGACATGGCGATCATCTTGGAGGTGTTCTGGGCCGCCTGGATCTTGCATAATTTGATGTAGTCAGGGTTCTTGCTTAGCGCTTCCCCAAGGTGAGCAAGGGCAGTTCAGGGTCCACACAGGGCCAAGCCCCAACCCGATCCTCACCGCTCCTCCCTTCCCAGCCTTTGCTTCAGTTCTCTGGGCCTTCAGATCCAAGGTTGTGCTCAGAGGGCATGTGCCTCCCTCTTCTTTGGCACCCGCCTGTGGGCCGGCCCCCCTGCATGCAGCTGCCAGAACTGGGGACAGCAGCGGAAATACATTCAGGGCCAGCTGTGCTATTGATCTGGCCTTACAGTAGGGAGCCAGGCCTCAGGCACCCCACTAAGATTCCAGATCCCAACACTAATTCTTATTAACACTTGATAACAATCTTTCCCAACTTCTAGATTCCGTGCTATATATCTTACATATATCTTTATTAATCTTTCTAGTAATCATATTTCTATTGTACTAATTGAAAAAATGAGGTTTAATGAGAGGTAAAGTACACTTAGCCCTCACTTGATGAACCATATTGTATATAGCATTTCACCTTTGCAGTAATAGTTTTTCACATTAACTCTGGCAATAATGAATACTAATCTAAGTAATATTGGCCATGATAGTTAATATTATGTATCAACTTGGCTAAACCACGATTGTCAGTGGTTTCCAGTTATGTAATACTGTAATTTGTCATTGTGTAATGATACCGTCATCCTTCATTGTGTGATCTGATTTGACTATCCTTCATTTTTGCATGATAAATGAGGAGTTGGTGTTATTTGATTGGCACAAGTCAATGTTTAATCAATGTTTTACTTAACAGTCGACTATATAGTTCATTTTCAAATGAAGGCAATAACTCTTAGTTTATCTTTCTTAAACATCAAGCCATCATTTACAACCCAGCTTCACAGCCATTAAATCAATTTTCACTCATAGTGACCCTACAGGACAGTATAAAATTGCCCCTGTGGGTTTTTTTCCTTTGGAGTGACTGGTGGGTTTGAACTACTGACCTTTTCAGTTAGCAGGCCAATGAATAACCCACTATGTCATCAAGCATTCGTATTTACAACTTGATTCTTATTTATCAATCACTTTTAATAATACAGTTCTATTCTACCAACAAATATTAACTTGTATTTGGAAATGTCATAGATTTTAACTACTATTATTTTTCTCTTTTTGATAGGCATCTCCACGGGTTACTGTTGATGACTATTTAGTAGCAAAATTAGCAGATACTTTGAATCATGAAGATCCAACCCCTGAAATATTTGATGACATTCAAAGGAAGGTATTGTATATAACATCACTTATTTCTGTTGGAAAAGAATATACATTCCAAGTGCTCATAATTTTAAAAGGTTATTGAAACATTTTTTAAAATGGAGTGGTAACTAAAAAGAAGGGAGGGAGTAGATAAAGGGGAGCTGATATCAAGGAGTTCAAGAAGAAAAGAAAATATTGAAAATGATGAGGGCAGCAATTGTATAATTATGCTTGATCTAATGAAACCATGAATTATAATAATATCGGTAAGAGCTCCTAATAAAATGTTAAAAAAATAAAAAGATAAAGTTATGGCAATAATGTCTCCTAATTACCACCCCGTTCCAAATAGTAGTCCAATTTGTTTGCTTATTTATTTGCAGTAGCTGACAAAGAAATAATTATGTTGTGTTGTGTATTTGAATCTGACCAAAGAGCCAGAGGCTTAAAACTTCATGAATTGCTGTATGTATAAATAATGTACCTCTCAAATTCATTATACAATGCACCTGGAGCCTTTATTGGACTTCTTGGAGAACATTATTTCTTAGGCTATTATGAATAGCTTATTGTCATGTGATGTGTGTTTCAGTACAATTTAGTTCCTGGAGGCACATGAAAGTACCTTTAGTTATGAGATACGGTTCTATTTTTTAAATGTAAATAACATGCTTAGCATATGCTTTTGCTAATTGTTCTGTTGCCTGAACTGTACTATTAATATTATCTTTTCTACTCGTTATATGTGAGCACACATTATTTACAAGGGCATATTTTCAACACCAAATCCACTGCCATCAAGTTGATTTTGACTCACTGTGAACTTATGTAGGGTTTCTGAGACTGTAAATCTTTTGAGAGCAGCCAAGATTCTTTTTTTCCCCTTCCACAGAGTTGCTAGTGAGTTTGAACCACAGACCGAGTGGTTAGCAGGCTGATGTCTAACCAGCCATGACACTGCTTGCCTTTTTCTGTGAACAATCACAAAATCACAGTAGTTGTGCAGCTGCCATCTGAGAGTGAAGAGGCCTGTGATGCATTATGGGAAAACCTCAGCGTAGTTTGGGGTTAAAGCTTATTGAGTAAAAACAAGTAGATTACCTGTATTTATGGTGTGCATATTTTAATTTCCATAAGGTATATGAGCTGATGCTGCGGGATGAAAGATTTTATCCTTCGTTCAGACAGAATGCACTGTATGTGCGCATGCTCGCAGAGCTGGATATGTTAAAAGATCCAAGTTTCAGAGGATCAGATGATGGTGATGGAGGTAAGATTGTGCACATTTTACATGTGTGAGGGTATATCTATATCCTGCTTTTAAAGATAGGACTTTTCAACTAAGATACGTGTTGTTCCTAAAGCACAAGTGTAAATTGTTATATAGTTTAAAGTCTACAAAAGAATATCAGAATTTAGTTATTGTGCTAAGTTAAAATGTTGAAAAATAGCATTAGCCTAGAATATAACTATAGAAGCCTTAAATTCTTAGGTGGAATGTGATTTTTAGGTATGCCACCTAAATATTTTCATAGTAGTTTTTAATTTTAGGATTATTAATTGGATTAAATTATATTAATGGTAGGAGCTTTGAGATTAAATTAATTAACATGTAATGATGGAGTTTACCATAAAAAAAACTGTTTAAAAAACTTATTCAAGCATATATATTTTTTAAGTCCTGCACAGTATGAGAGACTTTTTGAGCTGGAAGAAGCTTCATATAATTTATTCTAGCCTTGCCATGTTTTCGAGTCAGGCTATTGAGTCCCATCACAGTGAAGAAAAAAGATTTCAAGTCAGCATCTTTGGGTTTACTCAATTTACGCTTACCACCTGCGTGAGGTTACGTCATATCTTTGACCTCATTTTTATTAATTGTAAATCTGAAATCTCATCATAATAACTCAGTCATTGTGATATTTGGGTGGATTTACATATATAAAATAGTTACATTACATATTTACTATATAAAATATTAGTATCGGTTATTATTAGTAGTAAGTAGTTATATGAAGAGGCTTCAAATGTTCATGAAAAAAATTCTCTTGTCCTTTAATTTCATTTTCCACGAACTATTTACTTATTTTTATTGGGATTTAATACTTATATCATATCATTCCATAGTTCAATCATGTCAAGTAGAATTTTAAATTGCTACCACAAGTTTCCAGACATTGTTTTTCTATATGAACTCCTTGACACCCTTTACCCCCCCCCACCACCACTGTATCCTCCAACCCTAAAACAGTTATTCTACTTGCTGTCCCTATAGGTTCTTCTATCCTGGATTTCCTATACTGAAAAATGGAAAAGCATATAGCATAACTTCAAGGGGTGACCTCCAATGACATAACACCTCTGAGATGCACCCTAATATGAATAAACAAAAAACAAACAAAACAATACAAACCAAAAAATACAGAAAGTTTTGGAAAATAGATCAGGTCCAGCCTGCATCATAGCGGGCATCTAATGACAAAGTTTTAACTGTTCAAGTCAGATTTTATGCCTTTGGTCTTTTATACTCGTCTCTCCCAAGTTTTCTGTTTAGTGACCCTTTCCTGCCATCGTGCTGTTTTAGATAGGGGAGCGCTCTGGGGTGTACTTCCTGTGTGGTTCCACAGATGAGTCCTGGCTCCCCCTGCCAGCCATAACTGTCTGCACAGCAGATTCTCATAGCTCAGGTTCTGGGACTGGTCCCTCCTTCAACTTCGGTTTTCACAGATTATCCATGAACTGTTTAGATCCCTCTCATATTAAGAATATTGGGAGAAGTGACTGGGCCTGAGTCTCCAGAATCCGGAGCCCTATGACTATTTTACCTGTGGTTTAGTTCAGAAGTTTTAAATTAATTAGATATTTAGAATTTTAAGAACTCTCTGATATGTTTCACTGAGCAAATGCACAAATGTAAATAAAATTAAATTGCAAAGTTTGGGTGAAGTGATTCTATTGAGTGCTTTTATTATGACCATTTACGTATGAAGAGGTTTTATGAACGGACTACTTGAGATAGCAATATAATGGGGTTTTTAAGTAGTCAGCAATTTAAGCAAATTTTTATAATAGAAGATTCCCAGCCTCCTCTTCCTCTGTCTGATTCCTGTAGTCTACACTAGTGAGATTTTACTTTTTCAATAGTAATCTAAGAAACCTAGTTACAGAAGATTGCATTGCACTTTAGTGGTTGTTGATCTAATACCTTGGGTTTTAAGATGAAGATTTTCTAAGTATTTGTAAAATTGGAGTGATATTCTCATAACTGAATTTGCATAATTAAGGAAGCCTTTTTGAAAAACAAAATTTCTGTAGTAACTAAACAGTAAAATTTATTGTACCTCTAGTTCAAGAATATTAATCTGTGTGTATTTTCATTGAAAAAATGTGCTGCTTTAGAGCTATTTTGAAATTTTCAGTGATAGTTTTATATCGCTGAACCGTCCTAAAATAAATATTATAAATGTATTATTTATATTAATTTTATACATTAAAATTTTTTTCAAGTATTTTTGAAATTAATTGATATATGAGACAGAATGAAAGAAGATAAAGTGAATTTTAATCAGTAAGTGAAGAGTTTGTCAGTTCATGTTCTGAATAAAATCCATTCTTAACTTTTTTTTTTAATCGTTTTATTAGGGGCTCATACAACTCTTATCACAATCCATACATCAATTGTGTAAAGCACATTTGTACATTCATTGCCCTCATCATTCTCAAAACATTTGCTTTCGATCCATTCTTAACTTTAAGAATGTGTAAGTCAGTTGGAACAAGTGCATATAATTTTAATTTCTATGCAAGAAAAAACTCAGCCCTTTCCATGACTTGATAGCTGCGTATGAAGCAATGAACGTGATTGTGTTTAAGAATTTGCTGTAAGGGTTGGTTTTAGTGTTCAAAGAGAGGACAAATCTATATAACATTAAAATGGGGCTTCAAATATGTTGGCACCCTACTCAAAGATGGCAGCGGACTGCACTGGTTTGAATGTGAGTGGCTTCCCTCAGTCCTGCCAATAATTTCATCAGTGGGCTTTCTTTGTCCCTTCTGAGTCTCTCATTCCAGCACTTCTACCCATATATTTCCCATCCTGGTTCCTGTGACAGTAACTTACTCAGGTAGTACAAATTCCAAAAATCGCGTTCTGTTCCTGCTTGCTTTGTTAGCAGTGACAGCTCAGCATTAAAGGGCAAGTAGGAGTTGTCCATAAATTGGATATTCGAAATCTGGGAACTGCCTGTAATATGCAGTTCTAAGATGGTAATACATTAGCATTATACTCTCTGGGAATAGTATAGACTTTTGCGTGTTTTCGAAATTGGCTTTCAGCCCCATACATACCCTTCCAGCCAGTCTTTTTTCATGTATGTAACTGAAGGACATAAATTATTTATGTGCCATCTCAAACTTCTTAATGCATCACACTTAGTTAAAACATTAACTGTTTCATAAGTTATTTCTCTTGTAGTTTTGATCTGAAGGCAAATTTACTTCTATTATTTTTGTCATTAAGTGACCTCTCACAATTTATAACTCGTGGGCTATAATTTGGAATTATATACTTAGTATATCTTATTGTCATACTAAAACACTTTGCTTATTTGAACACTCAAGGTCCTAATTGGTAAGCTTTTATATTATAGCTAATAAATTGCCTAACCTCCCTTGAAGCCATTTAAAAAACAATGTGTAGGATGATAGGTGTAATATGAAACATTATTGCTAAAAGCAACTTGCAGGTTTATTGTCTTTGTTAGTGTATAGGTCTTTGCTACAACTTTTTCAAGTAGCTTGCTTATGATTTCCTTTTCTTTATAATGCAATTTAATCAAAATTAGGCCTTTACATTGTTTATTAGAACTTAATTTTCAGCTTTTTGAATTAGGCTTTTTGGTATGTCTTATTTTTTTGGTTGTTTGAAGTTTCGATTACTTTTTAGATATCCTAAAATAATTATGTAATAAGAGATTTATGTGTAGTTGATTTTTTTTTTAAGGCAAAATTGAACTTGGAATTAATGGCCCAAGGCTTATTAACAAATGTGCACTAACACCAGTCACCTTGGGTAGCTTTTCTTGGTTGGGGAAGAAAATTTGTTGTTGTACCTTAACTCACTCCCTTTTCTCCCCTCCATTTTTTCTCTTTATTCATGAATGCTTTTGTAGATACTTCAGCTTCAATTTATCTAAAGGTAGATATTTTTCATTTTATTAAAACAAGACCAAGCAGTCTTTTGAAAAGTATTTAAATTAAGCTTTCTTATTTTTAGTATACTTTCACTCACATTTTTTCACACTATGCCAAATAATATTTTGTTTTTTAGCGCTATCCATAGCCTACTACATACTTCTTGTTTAAATATGAACCAAGATTGATTCTAATAGCTTGTGTTTCTTTTTATTATTTGCTTTAGTTTGCATATGACTTCTTTTGACTGAACTTGTCTTTGGTGGGAAAATTTAAGAGGTTGAGCAGACATTAAAACATTGTACAAAGATACTCAAGTTTACCATATCATGTGGATTCTTTTATTGAATAAGTAGAATAATTTGTTTACCTGTTTACTAATTTTAATGATCACTTTGTTAAAAAGGGATACTTCTAGGGATGAAATTCCCTGTTTAGCTTTGATGACCAAAGCTCTGAGGAATCAAAGCATGCTGCTAAGTGTTAGGAGTTATTGAAATAGGGTGGCAAACACTAACTGCCCCTTTCTAGAAGTAATGGGAACTTGCTTTTGGTTACTCAAAGATCTAAATTCATGGGTAATCTTAAAAATGATAGAAACCATATATTAACTTTAAATTGTATATGAGCATTGCCTTACCACTTGTTTTTAACAGGAATACTTAATTGGTAACTTAATTTGCTCAGATATACATTAAAACCCAGAGGGAAAAGATTATTGCTTAGTATTCATTTTAATCGATTTACTCTAACCTAAATGTTTAAAAGTTATTTTTCATAGTTGCTTTTTAATTAAATGGCATTGCATATAGATTTTTAAATATCTTTTGGTCTAGTGACTGTATATGTTGTATTAACTATATTGTTCTATTACTATTTGTATTGACTTAAGCATCTAGACTTAATGTTTTTGAGGTAAATCTACCAAAAATAGGTAGACCTAATAGCTATATTACAAATCAATCTGTATCTTATTTTTCACACTAAAAATGAATTTTATTTGTGATATTTCTAATCCAATGAGGGAAAAATAATAACAGTAAGAGATTTCATGTGCCGTGTGTGCTCCACATGCTTTTGCTGTAGTAGACAACTTAATATGCTACTATGAGAATAAAAATATTTAATTTTGTACGTAAGGACTTTTACTTTTTTTTTTTCCCAGACAGTGCAGGTATTTTAAAAATACTTTCTTGCACAATACTTAGACCTAAGCTATCAGGCAGATGCCACCATTTTTCTTGGCTGTTCTGTTGTGTCTTAACTTCAATGACTTTGATTCTTTTTACTTGAGCTTTTTTAAAAAAGACAAAAAAAAACAAAACAAAAAGAACCATTAACAAATGTACAAATGTGTTTGACACAATGGATGTATGTGTGAATTGTGATAAGCGTACGAGCCCCCAATAAAATGATTTTTTTTAAAAAAAGAACTATCTCAAAAGTTCTTTTTTGTTTCATTCTACATTCTAATTTCATGTGTTTCCCCAACAGAATCTTTTAATGGGTCTCCTACAGGAAGCATAAATTTGGTGAGTATTTTTAATGGATACTTTAAATAGTAAAGTGACTGTAGTGTTTTTTTAATAATTCTTTTGATTACAGTGTTTTAATAGATAATAAATTGGTAGGTGACATCCTATTATTTAGGAAAGGAATATTAAAAGAAGAAATATATAGTTGAGATAACAGAAAAGTCCCACATTTAAAAATCGGGATAGGTAAACATGTTTTCTTTTAATTTTGCTGAGTGTTTCATGGTAAGTTAAGCAACTACCTCTAACAGTTACTGTAGTTTAAGAGTGACAAGTGCTTAGCATACTTGGCATATTGCAAAATTGGGATGCTCATTTGCATTTCATTGCCTAGGCTTCTAAGTGGTAATCGGACACATAGGCAATTTTTTATTGAAATATACAAAAACCCTAGACTCTCAGAAGGAACATCTATGTTCAAGACCAACCAGTTTAGGCGCAATAAGCCATGCTTATCAGTTAGCGAGTGGCAGGAATCTTCCCTCCGTTTGCGTTGCTGGAAGCTGACTAAACAGTCATCTTCAAAGCAGACTTTCGCACAGAAGCAGTCTCAGGCATGCTGTGCTCGTTTTTCTCTGTGTAGGCTGCTTGTGTGATGTGCATCTAAATCTGGATTTATCAGTAATGTTTTAAATGTGGAATTTTCTTGAAAATTGATCATTTAAAAAATTTATTATATTAAATGTAAAAGTACTATTTATCTCAGCATCTATCTCCTGGATAGATACCTAAAGATTTGAAAGCAGGAGCTCAGACAAGTTATTTGTTGATCAGTGTTCGTTACAGTATTACCATATATACTCGTGGATAAGCTGAGTTTTCTAGCATGTTTTTAATGCAGTTTTTGTGGTAAAATTAGGTGCCTTAGCTGATAGTCGTGTCAGCTTAAACTCAAGTATATACGGTTTTTGCCGTAACCAAAAAGTAGAATTAATTCAAATGTCCATCAATAAAAGTAAGTAAAAGTTGTATGCCGACAGTGAAATATTGTTAGTCATAAAACCAAAAAACAAATAAATAAATAAACCAAAAGACAACTCTTCAATGGAGTCATGACTCATAGAGACCCTATAGGACAGAGTCGAACTGCCCTGTTGAGTTTTTGTGACTCTGAGTGATTCTCAACTTTCCTAATGCTATGACCCTTTAATACAATTCATGTTGTGACACCCAACCATAACATTATTTTCGTTGCTACTTCATAACTGTAATTTTGCTACTGTTATAAATCAGGTGACCCCTGTGAAAGGGTTGTTCAACCCCCAAAGGGGTCACGACCCACAGGTTGAGAACCACTGCTCTTACTCTTTATGGGAGTAGAAAGCCCTCTCTTTCTCCCATGGACCAGACTGGTGGTTTCTAAGTGCCAACCTTGCAGATTTCAGCCTAATGTGTAAGCACTACACAACCAGGGCTCCCATTTGCCATAAAGTGAAGTAAAATTTTGATATGTATTGTAGCATGGATGAACATTGTATCGTTTATGCTAAGTGAAATAAACCAGACCAAAAAAATGACAGATATTACATGGTCTCACTTTTATGAGATATCTGGTTTAGGCAAATGCATAGAGATGAAAAGTTTATTAGTTGACACTAGGGGTTTTGTGGAAAAGAAATGAGAGTTATTAAGTTATTATTGAGATGTTATTACTGCTTGAGATGATGAAACACTTTTGGAAATAAATAGTGGTAATGGTACTGAATTAATATGCTTAAAAGTATTCAGTTTGATAACTTACTTATCTATGTATATTTCCACTATGAAATTATTAAAATATAGTCGATTGATACTTGTTGTAAATGCTTTTTAACTACAGTTTTAATTGTCTTTTCATTTATTAAATATAAGAGACATAGTGAGCTACAGTATATAGATTATTATATATAGATAAGAGAGAAGAAATAATTTGATTATTAAACTGATTACTAAAATCATTCGTTTTATTATTTAAGCCTTACATGGGATAAAGAGTAGTGCATGTTTGATCTAAAATTCTTTAACTTTTTTTTTTCTATGAAATAAAAAATTTTGTTATCTGATTGCCCTTTCTCTTTCCCAGTCTTTGGATGATCTCTCAAATGTATCTTCTGATGACTCAGTACAACTGCATGCCTATATTTCAGACACTGGTAAGATACTTTATGGTATCAATTCTGAGAAGCTACTATTTTCATTCCAAAATTACTCTCCACACTCATTCTTAAAACCTCCCCCCCCTTTTTTCTCCTCATCCTATAGCCATACTTTTAAGTTACTGTATTTTTTTGTTTGCAATTTGTGCTTGTTTCATTAAGTTCTATGATGTTCATTTGCCAGTGTATCTTGATATTTACTCTCTCTAATCTTGTGCCATTATTTACATTTGGAAATGCTTAAGTTTTAAGCATTTTTTCATTTATAATCAACTGAAACTAGTCCTTTATATTTTTGAGGTTAGTTAATTGTATGATTATACATTTGGAAGAGATTTTAACTCAATATTTTTCTTCATACATGCAAAGTCGGAATAGGAAGATAACCTGGGATAAATGAGGTCTTTGGATTTAGAAGTTTGTAGAAGTTTTAAAAAATGCTGTGAAGGTGGGAAACTTCCAAGACTTATACTGTCTCAGTCAGCACACAAGCTGAATGGTTAGAGAGCTGAGAAAAAGTAATCCATTCCCATCATTTCCATTTTCATGGAAAGAATTCTAGTGAGCACTCAAAACCAAAAAACCCAACTCACTGCCACCAAGTCAGTACTGACCCATAGCACCCCCTGTGGGTTTCTGAGACTATAACTACGAATGGAGTAGAAAGCCCAGTCTTGCCTCCCATGGAGATGCTGGTGGTTTCCAACTGCGCACCAGGTGGATTGCAGCCCCAATGTATAACCACCAGGGCTCCACTAGATAAAGATGATTTTCTTATATGGCCTCTCACTATTCCTAAGAGTCACTGATTGGGAGTGTGTTTTTCACATTATGTTCTAAAGTATACATACCTCAGTTCAATTTTATGCTTACATTCTAGATACCTGATTTAGTTTCTTCACTTAAAAACTCATTTGACTCATAACCCTATAGGATAGAGTAGAACTGCTTCTGAGTTTCTGAGATTGTAACTCTTTACCGGAGTAGAAAGCCTTATCTATCTCCCATGGAGCCACTGGTGCTTTTGAACTTCTATGCTACCAGGAATTAGTGCGATTATAACAGAAACAACTGACAACAGTGTGGCTTTAACAAACAGCAGTTTAGGAGGCTGATTTCTGGGCACCAACTCTAGGGAGAGCCTTTATCTATGTCACTGTGATGGGAATCCTGCCTATTTCTAGCGTCCGGCTCTCAGTTCTTTGGTGATCTTAGATCTTCTTGTGATGTGAATTTCCCCTTCCATTTCCTTCTCTAATTCCTTCTTTGGTCTAATCTGCCATTTATATGCCTCAAAGGTGATTGGCTTAAATATACTCTCCACTGATGTGATCTCATTAACCTAACAAAATCTCACTTCCAAATGGGATTACATCCACAAATGTAATTGGGTTTAGCATCCCTAGTCAGTCCATAACAATCGTAAAGAAATTTTATGAGTATAGTTTAAAAGATAATAATTTGTATCTGGTTCAGGGATGGGAGTGGGGGATTGTTGCTAAGATCTATCCTTTAAAGTCTCATTTTGCCTCTGTTTTCTGCCAAATTTACAAAATAGATTTTTTTTTGTAAATGCTATCTTAATTTCTTCACCATGCTTTTTCTTTAACTTTTATATTTAAAAATATATGTTGCTCTTAAAGGATCATTGGATATTGACTCTTGTCATCAAATAAATCCAGTTATTTTTTGCTTTTCTTTCTAGTTTTTGACAAAAATGTCTCACCTTTTTTCTGCCCTAAAATTAGAAATTTCATTTAAAAACATCTTTTTTCCAGTTTGCTTTTCTCCCAAATGTGAGATCATTTTTAAGTGCAAATGTTTAATAATTTTCTTTTTATTTATTTGGAGACCTTGAGCATTTGTCTTGAGGAAGACATTTATTATATTCATATTTCTAAATGTTGAACTTTCTCTTTTCAAGAGAGAATGATTTTCAGCTGCTATTTTTCATTTGTTATTTAACAAATATTTACTAGGTTCTGAATAGATACAGAAGGGCTGAACTAGGTGTTTTTAATATATTGGTATTTCTTTTTGAAGAAATGTATATGTAGAGACTGAAGCGGCAACTTTTTTCACCTAGTTGTATGGCTTCAAGCTCCAGCCTTGTCATTTAATACTTCCTCATCAGTAAAAGGAATAATAATAGTAATATTGACTTGACTAATATAATCAAGTAAATAATAATAAAGTTCCTTCCCTATGCTAAGTATTATATATATGAATGTTTATTCAATATATACATATTTTCCCACTTAGTCTCCAGAGTCTTTGATTCTACATCCCATATATTTAGGATCTTTCTTACTCTTGTAGGATTTGTAGTCAGTGTAAAGCAGTACACATTAGAGAATGGTCCTTGGACTAGTTAGTGTACTCTGCTTTTTTGCTTGCATGTTCTTAAGTGAAACTGTGTCCTTACTGATGTACATGTGGTTTCTTAGCTCGTTGGGGACTAGTAACAAGTAGTGTTCTGGTCACCTGCTGTGAGTGTAACTGGTCTAGAAAATATAAAGCCTGCTAGCTATTTCTACCCTTCTGAAACCAATTAAGTTACTTTTCTGGCTTCTTCATCACTCTCATAATCACCAGGTTGTTTTTACTGTTGTGCATGCACCACGTCCTGATATCTCTTCTTCCTATCAATTTGTGACAAAATTCAGTTTGTTCTTTTTTTAGCACACTTTCTTACATTTTTCTATGCCTTCTATTCCCCTTGTTCTCTGTCTTCTAAGTGGTTATGGTTAGTTGCCTAAATGCCTCAGGCTTTTCTCTGCCTTTCCCAAATCTGTTTTAGGCACCAGAGAGAAAGCCATCCTCTTGTTGTTGTGCTCCCTGCATTGAGACATGTGCTTCTCTGACTTGGTGAGGAAGTGTTGTGCTTTTTGATCTGCGTATGTTTCTGTAAGATGATTGGAATAGATGAAGCAGTGCAGGCTACAGTTACAGCTTCAATGTAGAGCAGTGTGGCCAAAGTTTATTCCTACTTATATTTTGTCAAATCAGCAACACTGATCCTAGGTAGAATGGGAATAAATGACAATTTTGAGTCAAAAGTATAAATGTTAGGGAAAAAAATTATTAAAACCCAAGAGAAATCCTCAATTATAATCATCAGTATGGATTTCTAGCTTTTATGTGATCAAAATAATGTGCTGAAAAGCTCCACAGATTCTTCTTTGCCTTATTTTATATGAAATAGCAGACTTTTTAGTTAGCTCTAAAACTTAGCCATTATTTGGGTCAGTCCATTATTACAAATAGCACTGTAGACCTGTGTTTCTCCCAAGTGGGCAATGCTGCCCCCTAGGGTTGGGGCTGCAAAAGCAACAGATATATACACTAAATCCTGGATTACGAGCTACAGCACAAATGTTTTTAGTTGCCAGAAAAGGGGTGGTGGGCTTAAGTAAGTTTGGGGACCTCCGTTAGACTTTTGGACAATATATTAGTTTGAACTGCTATGAAAAGTACTGTCTTCTCATAGAAAGGCGGGAAACATGAAGCTGAAAATAGCTAAAGAGGGAAGTCCACAAGTGCCACAAAACAAGAAGAAAAACAAATTCAAGGAAGTGATGAGTTGAATCAAAAGGCTTAGACGAACATAAATACTGCTGTCTTACTTTTGATAGCATTTTAATTCCCTCAAGAGAAGAAGAGACATAACTACGGTCTTAAGTATGTAGAACCAAGCCCTTTTCATAAAGCTCAGAGTCAGAAAAGGTAACATGATACAAAAGAGGAACTGGAAAAATGTGTCCTACCTACAGGGATAAGAACAAGAAATATCAAAGTCATGGCTGGAAGAGGACCTCTATCACCCAACAGAAATGGAAAATCTAACTCCAACATTAATGTATCATATTTAGATGGATTCAGGTAGCTTGTAGGATTTTTAATTGGTTCTGAGCTTGAAACCAGCAATTTCAATGTCAATACTGTTCAATATGAATGCTTCCTTAATCCAAAGAATGCTTCCCTGGAGGGACACATAGAAATCTCTGGGAGAAGCATTATCAGTTGAAGATTAGTTATAGGAAGCAGCTAGAAGTCACAAAGAAAATAATGAGCTTCAAAAAGGGGGGCAGCCCTTATTAAAGGAATAATTTACATACTAATAACTTGGAGGTGACAATCTGAAGTAGATTTTAAGTGTGTTAAAAATAAAGGGATAAAGTAGAGAATGTGATCCTAAGGCTAGTATGAAACAATGTGAAAAAAGAATCCAGTACCATTCTAGGAGCACAAAAACAGACTCAATACACTTTTAGAGACCAGAAGAGAAAATGTTGTAGAGTAGAATGCAGCACAGAAAGAGAGAGAAATGAAAAACAGGAGGGGTGTGTGTAGAAGAATAGGTTTTCATTTTAAAGGCCATCTGACTTGAATGGTATCTGGAAAATACCCTCCCCCTTTTTAACTTTCAGAATAAATTACACTTGTATGTTGTGGAATATTATATTAAATAGAAAGAGAATTTCCAGAAAAACTAAATTTCATCTTGATTTTTGCTGTCTGTACAGTTTTAAAAGTTTTTTGATCAAAATAAAGGTAGATGAAGGCTTGGGCATATTGGTATTTGTTTCTGTTATTTTGTTCAGTTAATTTGAAGAGACTGATGCTATGCCATCAGGTGGTATTGTGGGAATGTAACTGATGATAGTTCAAAGCTTTTGGAAAAGGAAATCCAAAGTAGGCATCATTGTATGGTTGACAGTATCATTGTCTTTTAGTTTTTGTTGTAATAGAGCCATTGTTTTAGAACACTTAATGGAATTGAGTATATGCGAGGGCTTCAAAAAGTTTGTGGAAAATTAAGAGTTGCAAGTTAATAGAATTTTTCCGTGCAATTTTTAAAGCACCCACATATTGGTTTGAGTTGATTCCAGCTCGTGGTGACCCCACATGAGTATTGGCGGGGCTTTGTTTTATCCTTTGGTGACCTCCTTTTGTCTTAGTCTGTCATTTCAGATTCTTCATTTCATGGTGTCTTTTTGTTTTTGTTTTTGTTCTTCATCTTCCTCCTTTTTGTGTCTTTTGTTCTTCATTTTGTTTTAAATGACTACTAGTATATGCTGACTATGACCCATATGCTGTGGCAGGCGTTTGTAATGATCATGGCAAGACCTATGCATTATATGCCATCACTGTACACCGGCGGAATCTGCACAGTGAGGAGATGTGGAAAACCTACCGCCGTTACAGTGACTTCCACGACTTCCACATGAGAATCACTGAACAGGTACTGGTGTTTTTCAACCTTATGTGCTTTACATTGTTTCTTGAGTCGACATTTAGTTCTAAAAGTTTTGAGGATATGAGAGTGTAGATTAAAGCTAATGAAAGAAAATATAAGGTTTTTGTTTTTAATATGATTGGCATATATTTTAGGATGATTTTGGATACTTAACAAATACATCAGATGTTGAGAATTCTTAAGCATTCCAAACCATTGTGGTCAGGTATATCAGTGATATATTTTGGAAAACTGAGTTAAAGATATGTCTGATTTTAAGATTTTTGTGTGTACGTGTTGTATAAGCAAGGGGTGGTGAGGCCCGCCAGGGCTTATTGATTTGTAAGTATTTGCTGGCAAATGTTTTTTGCTTATAGACATTAATTTTAGGGCTCACCATAGTGGAGTATAATCCCAGTTTGTGTCTTAAATATGTGTTCAGATAAATTAATGTCACTTTTGTAAATTTTTTCTTCTTGAGCTTTGTGCAGCATAGAAAAACTAGCCTTAGTGTATGTAATATAACCTCCCAAACACACTTTACACAAGTATCTATGAATTTGGGTGTAGTTTGTAGTTTGTTGTTGAGATGGGCCCTATTATAAGACATTCTGTGGTTTTATTTTGAAGGGCACATTTCACTGCTCCAGTTATTTTAAATGGACTCTTCTACTAGCTTAACAAGGGAAATTCCAGATCTATTAGTTATGAAAATCAGCTAAAGTAAATTTACATTTGTATATTTTAAACATTAAACATCACCAGATAAGTAGAGCAAGTGTTCAATGAAATTTATTTTAACTCATAGGAATCCTTGATTCATTCAAGCGATTTAGATATCCAACTGATATTAAATCAATAAAAATAATAATAATTTAAGGTGACACCAGATTCGATACAATAAAGCTTTGAAATGATGTTGTACATTTTACTGATCCAAAAATATCTCTTTTTCAATTAAGGTAGGTGAAACAATATGATTGGTACCATATAATGTCACTAAAATTTTGTAATACAGTGAGATAAACTTAATAGCTTAAAACTAGTTAAAAACACATTAGCACTAAACCCTGTAGTCCATGATTAGGGGCTATCTTGAATTGCCATGTTTGTCAAGGAAGTAGTGGCTTTAGATGTGCCTGTTATTGTTGAGTAGACATTTTCCTTCGTGCCTTAGCTTGCTCGACTTGTGTGCTTTTTGGTATTGTTGTAAAAACTGATACTGTTTGAAAATCACAAAGCTTGTATTTTTTTCTGTCCATGCCTACACTTTACCAAACATGATATTTTAAAAAGTAATAATTTTAATTACTAAGATAAATTTTATTTGCTTGCAAATTAATGGGAATTTGATTTAACAGGTAATTTTCTTTATATAGTGTAATTCATTTTTAAATGACAGTGCAGGTGAAATAGACATGTTTTGACTGTGTATCTATAAAATTAGTTGTTATAACTTAAACTTTAGTTTCAGATTCCTCACAGAGCTTGACCAGTTAAGCACTAAGTATTTATAAATGAGTGTTTACTCTTAATTCTGCTTTATAAGTATTTTCTAAACTCAGACTCTTTATGAAAGCACAGAAGAAAAATAAGTTGTTGATTCTTAGTACATCCTATTCACATATATAACTGTTAACTCTGTAGCTATTAAATTACTCAACTTACTTTAAAACAAGTATTTAATGCTTTTCAATAGTTTAAATTTTTATTTAATATTAAAGATGTATATTAAAGTATTAAAATGTTAAATGCCATACTTTATTAACAGCCCAAACTCCCATTCTCTTATTCAACAAATCTTTATTGAACACTTCCTGTAGACTAGTCATTGTTTTCAGTGCTGGTGATAGAACAGTGAATAGCAACCAAGTTGTTGCTCTCAGGGGCATACATCCCAGTAGCTGTGTACATTTACATTTTATTGGATTGATTGCTGGTAAGTATAGATACAATGTTTAAGTGTTGCCTTGCTGACCAAAAGGTAGAGAGGTTCAAACTCACCAGGCCTGTTACTGGATAAACAAAGACTAGGGACAGTTTTATTCTATCCTACAGGGTTTCTATGAGTCTGAGTTGGCTCAGAGGCAATGGGTTTGTCTATAAAAATTTTTAAGTGGTTTAAGATATTACAAACCAAAAAAGCCTGACTCACTATCATTGAGTCTTTCCGATTCATAGTGATTGTATAGGGCAGGGTAGAACTGTTTTGGATTTTGAGACTTTTTTTTACATGTATATCATAATTTATTTACCTGTTTTTGGACATTCAGGGTGTTTTGTTTTAAATTCGTGGTGTTTTTTTTTAATAGTTTTATTAGGGGCTTTATCACAATCCATACATACATCAATTGTGTAAAGCACATTTGTACATTCATTGCCCTCATCATTCTCAAAACATTTGCTCTCCACTTAAGCCCCTGACATCAGGTTCTCATTTTCCCCTCCCTCCCCGCTCTCCCCTCCCTCAGGAGCCCTTGTTAATTTATAAATTATTATTTTGTCATATCTTGCCCTGTCCGACGTCTCCCTTCACCCACTTTTCTGTTGTCCGTCCCTCAGGGAGGAGGTCACATGTAGATCCTTGTAATCGGTTCCCTCTTTCCAACCCACTCTCCCTCTATGCTCCCAGTATCGCCACTCTTAGCACTGGTCCTGAAGGGATCATCCACCCTGGATTCCATGTGCTTCCAGTTCCTATCCTCTGGTCTAGCCAGACTTGCAAGGTAGAATTCGGATCATGATAGTGGGGGAGGGAGGGGAAGCATTTAGGAACTAGAGGAACATTGTATTTTTCATCTCCTGGCCATCAAAAGATACAGCGTCTGGGGTCTTAAAAGCTTGAAGGTAAACAAAGCTGCCATCTAGCTCAGAAGCAACAAAGCCCACATGGAAGAACACACCAGCCTGTGTGATCATGAGGTGCCAAAGGGATCAGTTATCAGGCATCAAAGAACAAAAAATCATATTGTGTGCTCACCTTTATGATACGGTCGCTGAAGACAAATGGGTGCATAAGCAAATGTGGTGAAGAAAGTTGATGGTGCCCGGCTATCAAAAGGTATAGCGTCTGGGGTCTTAAAGGCTTGAAGGTAAACATGCGGTCATCTAGCTCAGAAGCAACAAAGCCCTCATGGAAGAAGCACACCAGCATGTGCGATCACAAGCTGTCAAAGAGATCAGGTATAAGGCATGATCAGACAAAAAAAATCTTACCATAGTGAATGAGGGGAGGAGTGCGGAGTGGAGACCCAAAGCCCATTTGTAGGCCACTGGAGATCCCCTTGCAGAGGGGTCTCGGGGAGGAGACGAGACTTTGCATCTTTCCAGAACGAGGCAGCTTCATCTTTGGTTAGCAGTTCAGTGCATAGCCCACTATACTGCCAGGGCTTCTTTTAAGATAATATAGATGTTATATATCAGGAAATTAAAAAATGGTCTTATGAAACAAAAAAAAATATTTGCCTTTATTAAGGTGAGATTTAAAAAAATTAATTCAAATAACCCCTTAGACAACCCACTCTCATACTCTTGTGAGCACTAAATTTGGGACTATGACTACAGCATGACATTTTCTGTGTACATGATGACCCCACCTTCTTGTTTTGTTCTTCTGGCTATGATTGGAGCAATTGCTGAAAGAACTTTACTTTTCATAGACAAAGTCTAGTGAATTTGTTCAAGTTTTAGGTATAAGCAAATATCAGATTTATCATTTAATTATTAGAATCGTATAGTTTGACTCCTGCATATCATCTTTGGTTTAATCTCTTAAGTTTTCTTTCAGAAACATTTTTCTGCACAGTATTTTTCCATTGGAAAAGCAATGACTTGAGATTCAGGCATTAGCTGCTGGCTAGGAAGTCACTAACTAGATGATTATCATTACACCAGGATGGTAACATTGGTGCTTCACTAAGGCCTCACAGATCACTGCATAGCTTGAACCTCTAAAAGTCAACCCAAAGAGTAATAGTAGTAGGTACTAAACTTACTGTAAATATACTTTTTAGTTTTGTGTGAAGACAAGGTACATACTAATGGCTCTTTTTTTCTCAGTATAATGTCTGATTTTCTTTTTTATGTGGTTGGTGGGAGAGAAGTATCAGAGTTATATGTAGTGAGAGTTGTAAGATAATTGTTATTTTGACTTTACATTTTCTGCTTTTAATAATTATGATGAAATTGATATTAAATATCACTATTAGAGCTTATAAAAAACTAGAAACTCATAACTTTGGTCATGAAATTTTTATTTGGAAGTGCTTTATTTATAGGTCAAAGAGTTATAATGAAAATGTTTTATAATCTTATAAAAATTTTATCAATTTCAAAATTATGAGAGAAATATGAAAACCTCTGTGCCCACTAACTACCTAGCTTCATTAGGTCTCTGTTTTCACAGAGAAAATTTTGGTCATGATGCTGTTTTATAATAAATAGCATTAAAACTGTTTTAGAAAAATACTGGACAGTTTTTTTAACATCTTATTAACATAATAAAGCATAAAATTATGAAATTCCCTGTTTTAGATTTTTTTATATAGAGAGAATTTGGTATTTGGAGGAATTTTCTCTCTGAAAAACTAAGAATGCTGAACTTATTTTGTCTTCTAGTTTGAAAGTCTGTCAAATATATTGAAGCTTCCTGGTAAAAAGACGTTTAATAATATGGATAGAGATTTTTTAGAAAAGAGGAAAAAAGATCTAAATGCATATTTGCAGGTGAGTCTATGTTAGTATCTTTAGAATTTTATTTAAAGTATATTTCCTTATTAAAATGTTTTTTATTGTAATTGGAATTGCAGTTTATTTTGAGCAACATGTCAGACACCACTTGTAATTGATTTAGTAATTTTTAAACATTATTTCTGTTTATTAATTAGCTTATTTTTGATCACTCAGTGTAAAGAGTGGTTCTCCTTTCAGGTTTAGATGATCCCGTATACATGTATATTCATATCCATTCTAGATTACTATAAAAATCTAGGCATATTATGATAGACTGAATGATCACATTTCCAATTCAGTAGATAGTAACTGTACTAGCATTTTCAAGGTTTAAAGGAACAATTAAAGAACTGGTTGATGTGCATTGGATTCCAAATCATGGCAGCCTCCTGTTTTAGAGAGCCTTCAATGGCTCTCATCGTTCAGAAGTAGCTCCCCAAGCCTTTCTTCTGACGTGCCTCTGCGTGAGTTTGAGTTGTCAGTCTCTTGGCTACTAGCCGAGCACCTAACCATCTGGGTCCCCTAAGGCCTCCATGTACAAAACTTACCACTTATATGGAACCAGTATTCAATCATAATAAGCCTATGCAGAGTTTCCGAGGCTGTAAATCTTTACAGAAGCAGACAGAAGTTCATCTTTCTCCCACAGAGAGGCTGGTGGATTTGATCTTTGCAGTTAGTGCAGTGCATACACTACAATACCACCAGAGCGAGCAGATTACAGTGCCCAGAAGTTTTCTGTGGCTACTTTCTATGATTCAGAGTACTTCTGGGGTTTCCAAAATTATGAGAGTTGTAGAGACCAATAGATTAAGGGACTAATTCTAATATGTACACCCTAGACATGTAGATTTCTCATGTGGAATAACAAAACGTATCTCACAAGTTCGTGACTGAATATGCTCTTAGGAATTCTAGAAAGAACTTGGATTTTTACCTCAAAACTTTGATGCTAGATCATTTCGACTGTTTTCTGCACTTAAACGGCAACATTGAGTAGTTGCGGCAGTCGCTCTGGATCACAGAGCCTGATGTCTCTACTGTCTGACCCTTTAGGGAAAGCATGACAGCCCCTCTCTTAGAAGTTGGTGGAATTCAGCTAGTATGCTAATGGCTATTTCACTTGGGCGCTCTCTCTCTTTACTCTTATACATGTAATTCTGGTTCTATTTATAAATGTAGGTAGAATTTTCACATTATTATATACTTAAAGGATACCCCAAACCTTAGATCTCTGCTAGTTTATTCACCTCTATTTTCTCGTCTTAAATCCCAAATATTTGAGATCTTTGGTATGGTTCTTGTCAAATGTATGAATTTCAATTCCATCAAAATCTTTATCAGTATTTTATATTATATTTATTTTTTGATTTTTTTCAAAATCGTTTTATTAGGGGCTCACACAACACTTATCACAATCCATACATACATCAATTGTGTAAAGTACATTTGTACGTTCACTGCCCTCATCATTCTCAAAACATTTGCTTCCACCTAAGCCTCTGGCATCAGTTCCTCCTTTTTTCCCCTCCTTCCCCGCTCCTCCCTCCCTCATGAACCCTTGATAATTTATAAATTATTATTTTGTCATATCTTGCCCTGTCCGACGTCTCCCTTTACCCACTTTTCTGTTGTCTGTTCCTCAGGGAGGAGGTTATATGTAGATCCTTGTAATCGTTCCCCCTTTCCAACCCACCCTCCCTCCACCTTCCCACCCAATATCGCCACTCTTAGCACTGGTCCTGAAGGGATCATCCACCCTGGATTCCCTGTGTTTCCAGTTCCTGTCTGTACCAGTGAATGTTTTATATTATTTAGAAAATGACCAGCTATATTATATGGTGCCGTAATCTCACTTTTAAAAGTGACTGTACTTACTATATACTTCTAAGTTAATGGAACTTAGTATACCAAAATATGTTGCATGAAAGGAACTAAGCTAGGATGTCAAATTTGTATAAGGGGACGTCGAGAAGTTCCTGGCAAAATAGAACTGAAAGATAATGGAATTTTTCAACTAATTTTTTTTTTCTTTCAGCCCCTTTGTATAATCAGCAGTTGTGAAAGCAATGCTATTTTGTTTTGAGACATTATGACAAAAAGATTTTGTGTACATGTGCTTTCTACTAATGCCAACTTTAGAACTTACATGAATAGCATAGCAACTTTATAGTGCCGTGGAATGTCACCGTATATCCATAGCAGCTATAAAGCCTGAACATGAAGAAGGGACCACATCTAGAAAACTATTAGATCAGATGCATTGGAGCTCAGAGCACCTGAATGGGAAAAGCGTATAATACACCAAACAGTTAATGGTCCTAACATAATTGGTAATTTTATCTCCAATGTATTTTCAACATAAAATTTAAATTCTTTAATAGATATTACCAGCATTTCATTAAATGAAATACAGAGTTAACTCCCCGTATCCTATTAATTTAGAATACCTCTTTTTCTTGTTAGTTACTGTTAACTCCTGAAATGATGAAAGCAAGCCCCGCTTTGGCTCACTATGTATGTGATTTCCTGGAGAACAAAGCCTACAGTAAAGGGAAAGGCGATTTTGCTCGCAAGGTAAGTGCACCATTTCATTGCGGGTATTATCAGGACTGTTTTTGTACTTTGTTTTTAATAAAAATAAATACACTTAAGTTTGAATGTGTGTATTTTAAAATGACAACATTTTAAAGTGAAACTTACTGTATTTATCTTCTATACTGTATTGTCAATTGATAAGTAATATGTGTACATTTCTGCCTTTACATGTAGATGATAATCCAGCAGAAGCTGAAAAGGAAAAGCAGCTTTCAAAAGTGTACGTTAAGGAAAGCTTATCTAAGATAGGCCAGGCATGTTTTGTTAGCTGGAAAAGGAAATGTTTCTTATTGGGAGGAAATGTCTGACTAGAAACAAAGATTAGAAAGTGTTAAAAAGGATATGTCCCTTAAAAAGTATTTATGGCTCTTGTACCCAAGCTCTTTATTATCTAAAATCCCATTGGGTATATAAAGCCTATACTTGAACTAAGATGAGAGGTTAAGACAGTAAATGATTAGTTCTCAAATTGGTCACGACAGCTTAAGGAGTAAGAAAACAAACTGTGGATCACATAGACTTGGATTTAAATTCCTGCTCAACCATTTATTAACTGTGGCCTTGAGCAAACACTTAACAGTTGAACCCCATGTCCCTGGAGAAATAAGGATATTTATCTTCATTTTAAAGCATTTTATAAGTCACATTAGATACCTCTGTATTACAGTGGCTGGCACCTAAATAACTCTGAATAAATGTTTTCTATTAGTAGAAGCAGTTGTTAAAGGGCTAGTATAGACAAGTATGGTCTAAGGCTTAGGTAATCAGTATACTGTATTTAGTTTCTGTAATGTAAAACAGCTTTTCTATAAGTGAGTTACAAAATAAGTTGCCTCCGATTGTTTACTCATGTGAGGGAACTAAAATCTGTACTACTCTGCTAGTCTTTGGAAGATCCTGGAAACTAAGGTGAGCAGTTTTGGATTTTATCTTCTGTGTAGAAGAAATCCATTAGAAGGGAGGGTTTTGCGAAAAGAATTACAGTAAAGCAATGCATGGAAATTATTCCAGTAACAGTGTACAGAATTATCCAAAGGCAGGAGATTAGACACTAGAAGAAGAGTTCATTCTTACAGTAGGACTCTCGAGAGAGTGTAGGAGCAAGAATTTAAAAGAGAAAGAGTAGATCTGAGAATATATTTAAGGAAAAAATAAGACTCAGCTGTTGATTCTTATGAGGTATTAAGACTAGAAATTTTATAACTTAATTAGATTAATAATTATAGCAATTGACCGTAATCCAAACAATAAAATAAATGTCCATGAATCCATGCTCAAATAAATAAATGATAGATTAAATATATATTGAGAGATGGCACAGTTCTTCCATACAGAAGATTCTCTATGTAGTAGTGACTGATACTGAAATAGAAAATTGTTAATTGGCAAACACAGTATGTTTCAGGATGCTAAAATTTGTAGACAGAAATATGATAGGCTATTTGCATAGTTCCATGATTACATATGTATAAGATACTTCTCAAGTGCAGAAGGAAAGCAATGATTTTATAGTGGAGAAACCTGGCATATACCACAGGAACTAAGCAATTAAGAGTTGAAATACCTTCAGTAATAAAAGGTATTGGTACCTTGTATTCTTGGTACAGTACACTGACAAAAGTACACAATTGCTTCTTTGATATTTTTGCCCAAAATACATAACCTGATTTTCATCCTGAGGAAATAATCAAACCCAAACTGAAGGACATGCTACAAAAAAACAGGCCAGTACTTCAGAGTGTTAAGGTCGTAAAGGACTGAGGAATAGTTGTAGATTGGCTGGGAGGAGAGTGAGTGAGGCTACATGCCTATTAAATATATTTTGAGATCCAGGATTGAATTCTGGAACAGAAAAGAGACCTTAGTGATAAAATTAGATTGTAATTTTCAGTTTAGTTATGTATTATATTAATTCATGTTAACTTAAAGAATTTTGATCATTGTACCATAGATGTTAATTATACTATAACATTAATATTTGAAGAAAGTAGGTGAAGGGCATCTGGGAACTTTCATTTCTTTTATAACTTTGTATAAATCTTCAATCATTTCAAAATGAACATGTCAAAGGAACACAACAAAAACCCTCCCCTGCCCTTTTTCCTCCGGTCTAGAATTAATTTAAAAAAAAAAAAAAGATTAAGGAGTTGGTAACAAATAAGAAAATAAAATTGAAAATGTAAGAAATTCATATGGTTATTATATGTTGGATTTAATTTTTTCTAAGTGGAAATAATGAGCTTTTAGAACATAACCCTTAAAAGGATGAAACAAATAAGGTTCTGTTTCCTGTAATTTATTATTAAATTGATTGACTTTAAATTTCAACCTAACATCGTTTATTGTCAATAGAGATACATTCCAATCTTCTTTCTTTTTGATGCTGGCCAATTTTCAGTTTTAAGATCTCATAATCTTAATTAAGATAATTAAAGCTATTTTAAATACATACATTATTTTAACCAACCAGAAGTTTCCCACTCTCGCTTCCCCCCCCCCCTTAAAAAAAGTTTACCGGTTGAGTCTAAGGATTCTCTTGAATCATTACTGGTACTTCACAGTAACATATTTTTCATAAATTGTAGGATCATCCCAACTTATTTTGGATGATCAAAATAACTTCTATGAATCATATCAAGAATTTGAGGGTTTATATTTCCTTTTGATGAAATATAAATTGTTTGAAATTGTTTTTCTTAATTATTTTCGCTAAAAATTAAATAGTTATTAGAAAAAAATCTTCTTCAAGCCTTTCATTGTCAGGTATTCAGAACTTTAGGAATGGTCCTGTGTTATTGTTGGTCGTGGATGCTGTAGAGAATGACTCCATTGGGTTTTCAAGGCCTTGGCCTTGAAAGCAGATCTCCTGTCTTCCTAGATGATTTTGGGTGGGTTTGAATCACCAACATTTTGGTAACTTAATAATTGAGATCTTAACTCTTTATGCCACCCTGCTCTCCTAGTAATCCTTTGTAACATATTAATGTGGTAACAGTTCATTCAAATTCTAAAAAAATCCTAAAAACCCTGGATTTATTTCTAGAGAAGATAAAAGAATTTTTCAATAGCTATGCACCATCAGATTTCTTTACCACATTTGCTTATGCACCCATTTTGTCTTCAGTGATCATGTCAGGGAAGGTGAACATCACAGAGTGCTGTCTTAGTAGAACAAATTGTTCTTACATTGAGGGAGTACTTGAGTGGAGACCTAATCTTCATCTGCTACTGTAACACTTTATAGCATCTGAGGTCTAAAAGACTTGAAGATAAACAAGCAGCCATCTAGCTGAGAAGCAACAAAGTCCACAAGGAAGAATCACACCAGCCTGTGTGATCATGAGGTGGCGATGGGATCAGGGATCAGGTATCAGGCATTAAAGACCCAAAACAAAACAAAAAACAAATAAAAAGTATGTTTCTGGGAATGAGAGGGAGGGCAGAGTGAAGACCCCAAGCCCATAAGTCCATAAGTAGTCAATTGGACACCCCCTGTCAGAACGGCCACAAGGAAGAGTCAATCATAGTACAGTATAGCACCTACCAAACATATAACCTTCCCCTAGTTCTTTAATGCTGCCCCCCCCCCCCCACAACCATGACCCCAATTCTATCTTACAAATCTGGCTAGACCAAACATGTATACTGGTACAGATAAGATCTTGCAACACAGGGAATCCTGAACAGATAACCCCTCAGGACCAAAAAGGGGAGTAGCGGTACTAGGAGGGTAAGGGGTGGGGAGTAGACAGACAGCAGAAAAGTGGGTGAAATGAGACAGCAGTCAGTGTAAGACATGGGGGAAAAAAAGAATTTATGAATTATCAAGGGAACATTGAGGAGGGATGATGGGGAAGGGAGGAGGAAAAAAATGAGCTGATGCCAGGGGCTCAAGTAGAAAGTGTTTTGAAAAAGATGATGACCACATATTGTACAGATGTGGTCGACAAAATGAATTAATGTATGGATTGTGATAAGAGCTGTACAAGCCCCCAATAAAGCAAAATTAAAGTAATAAGCCTTGTGACAATGCTTAGGAGAAAAAAGACTTTTTCTCTGAGTACGAAGTATCATTTTTTTTCAGTTTTATATCATGGTATGAAAGTCTTTTTGATCTTCTGTAACCTGTGGTACACATAGTCCTACTTAAGCTTTGTACCTCTGGGCTTTCCCAAGGAGCCCTGTGGCATAGTGGTTACTACGCATTTGGCTGAAATCTGCAAGGTCAGTAGTTTGAAACCACCAGTTGCTCCTCCGGTGAAAAGAAGGATTTTCTATTCTGTATCGATTTGAAGTCCCAGAACTCACAGGGGCAGTTCTACCCTGTCCTGTAGGATTGCTATGAGATCACATCAGTTTGATGGCAGTGAGTTTGGTTTTGGGGTTTTGGGGTTTCTTGGGAGTCTCCCCCCTCCCTACATATAGTATGTGCTAGCATCAGGTCAGAGACTTGCAATGACATAAAACAGAAGGAAGTTCATTGGCAAACATTGTAGTGTTGAGAGTTTATTGTGTAAGGTTGTACATCCTGGAGGAATGATTGTGTAAAACTTTTGTATTTGGAGGCTTCTCTGTACAAGCTAAGATTTGTAAGAACATTTACTGTTTCTTGTGTATAATTGGGAAGTGTGGGATTAGGTAAAATTCAAGTGAGTTTTATTTCCAGGTCTTGATCCCACCTATTAATCCCACCTATTTCCAGGCCTTATCCCACCTATCCCACCACCAGCGTCCAGTGGAATATTATATTGATCAAATTCAGTTATCGTAGTCTCATAGTTTTTCCTTTTGACTTCAAAAATGTAGCTTTGCCACTGCATAAAAAGCATCCTTTTTCTGAAGGAAACCGCCAGTTGCTCCTCCAGTGAAAAGAAGGATTTTCTATTCTGTATCAAGTTAAAGTCCCAGAACTCACAGGGGCAGTTCTACCCTGTCCTATAGGATTGCTATGAAGACAGTTTTGAAGTCAAGACCAATATAAAATGTTTAACAGAATTCAATTGGACATCTTCCCAAAAGCATTGAAACATTGCAATGAGTTTCCTGGAATGTTGCTGCTCCTAAAACAAGTTTTAAGTAGATGAAGCATTTTAAAGTAAGCTGTGAAGGCCTAAAACATGAATTCACAGTTAAAAGGTTAGCTCTAGAAGGTTATGGCAATTGCTTTTTCAGAATAAAAAGGTGTAATTTTGAGTGAGTGAGTGTGTGTGTGTGTGTGTGTTTAAGAGACACCGAAGGTTGGCAAAAAAGTTTTCAGAAAATTGAAAACCACTGAGGAGAAAATGGCCAGGGTCATTGCACCAAGTCGTTTTGTGTTTTATAACGACATCAAACCTTTCCGTTCTTGGAGGGTGCGAGGCTGACCATAGAGAATTTCCTTGGGAACCCTTATCCCACCTACTCTGCAACCATGATCTTGCCCCTCAGACTTCTTTTTGTTTCTCCAAGTCAAAAAACCATTTCAAGGGAACACAATTCTCGTTCCTTAAAGATGCCCAAACTGACTTTTTAGACATGGTATAAATTGAAGAATATAGACTGCTTTGAGGAAGAGTTGAATGGAAATATTGCTACCTGAAGTATATAGACATAGGTGACAGATATATCAATTACTATTAACTTCACATTTTGATATTTTTGTTTAATAAAAGTTTCTATGCAACTAGCAGCAGTAATTTTCCCGAGCTTTACTTTTTAAATATATGGTAATATTTTCCACTACTCAATATAAAGAAGACCAAAATCTTCACAACTAGACATCATGATAATGAAAAAACATTGAAGTTGTCAAGGATTTTGTCTTGCTTGCATCTACAATCCTTGCTCATGGAAGTAGCTGTCAAGAGATCAAAAGACAGATGTGATGGATCATATAAATATGCTGCACATTGAAAAGAAAGGATGTTCCTTTGAGGACTACGATGTGCCTGACTGAAGCCATGGCATGTTCGGTTGCCACATGTGCATGTGAAAGTTGGGCTTTGACTAAGGAAGCAAGACCAAAGAAGAATCCATGCATTTGAGTAGTCATGCTGAAGAAGAATGCTGAAAGTGCCATGCACTGCTAAAACAGCAAACTGATCTGTTTTGGACGAAGTACAGCCAGTATGCGCCTGAGAAGCAAAGATGGCAAGACTTCGTCTTACATACTTTGGCTATGTTTTCAGGAGACACTGGTCCGTGGAGAAGGATATCATGCTTGTTGAAGTAGAGGGGCATTGAAAAGAGGAAAGTCTTCAACGAGATTGACATAGTGGCTGCAACAATGGACTCTCAGGCATAGGAGCAATTATGGGGATGGCAGAGGACCGGGCAATATTTCCTTCTGTTGCACATAGAATCACTATGGGTCAGAACTGACTTGATGGCAACTAACACCACAACTTACTACTAGTATTCTCTTGAGTTAGCTAATTTAAATGTCATCTTAGTTTTTAAAAATACACCAAAACTCAATCACTGATAGTGTTGGAAATAATGTCCCTGCTCATTTGAATACTGTTCAGGTTAACCAAAGACTAGGATTAGAACCACGTATGGATATGTGTGTGTGTGTATATACATACATGCATACACATACAAGGAGTTAGTGTCATCGTTTATCTTCATATTATTCTTCACTAGGGGTGGTATTTTTTCTTCTTCTTCATTCTGATTTTTGTATTGCAGTTCCACTCTGAGATATTTTACTGACACCTCCTAACGGTTGCTGCATAGTCATCAAGCATATCTGCAGCACTATTGCCTCAATGTCAGTTGGTAGTAACTAACACTCCCCACTCTTTTACGGTTCATTACAAACTCACTTTGTTTGTTTATTGCAGTAATTATTTCACATTTTCTCATTTTTCTTAGTGATATTCATGAAAACACATTAGAGTGAAAGCATTGTATCTTTTTGGTGCCTTCTATTGGTATGGTGTGGTATGATCTGGCATATGGTATGGTATGGTGTGGTCTGGTATGGCATGTTGGTCAGGCAGTGAGGTTCTTGTTGCTGTTTTATTTTTGCATGGGACTTAATTTACTTTCTTTTATAGTTTTTGTGAGATTCAATTATTTTCTGGAGACTGTTCTTATACATTGTAGGACTTTTGTGTTATATCCCTTTTCTCATTTATTTGATCTTGTATATTAAAAATTCTTTGATAATTCCATGTACTTTGGTTTATTTAGCTGTATCTTTATTTCTTAATTGAAGTTTTGACATCTGTACAATCAGTATCGATGTTTTAAAGCCTCACATCCTCTAGAGGTTCTTATTTCTGTAAACAGCTCTGGTCATAATTTCTTCTGTAGCTTGGATATTGTCCCTTTTTAAAATGTAGCTTACATGTCTGATTGTGAGCTGCTTTTCCCTTCTTTACAATAGAGTCCATTATAAAACATCAGAATTAGGACTCTAATTCAACACATATCTATATACTTGAGTATAAGCTGACCCAAATATCAGCCGCGGCACCTAATTTTACCACAAAGACTGCATTAAAAAATGTGCTGCAAAACTTGGCTTATATACAAGTATATATGGTAATTCAATTTTTAATTCTTTTTTAATCTATATGTTAATTATTGAGCATTCTTTATGTTTATTATAACTCCTTGTTTACTTTATCTACTAAAATATCCCTTTACTACTAAAATATTGTGGAATTGTGGCAGAAATTTATTGCAACTAATTCTATATGCCTCAATTTCCATTTTGGAAAACTGTTTAAATTCCCCCCCAAGCCTTTTTTAAAAGGTAGCTAAGGCTTATGTTCATTTTCTAGCAATAACCTCAGCACTCGAATTTTTAAAAATTATATAAGTAGGTGTGTGTGAATATAAATTTTAAAGACACACTGAAAGCGCAAAAGTTATATTTTAAAAATGCAATGACATTTCATAACTAGAAAATTATTGCATCTTTCATGTGTGTTTCAGTCTTTTTCCAGACTTTTCAGTTGAATAGGAAATCTGATAATAGTAAAATCATGGTATAATATCTTTTCCCCTTTAGATGGACACTTTTGTAAACCCGCTTCGCAATTCCATGAGGAATGTTTCCAACGCAGTTAAATCCCTTCCTGATAGCTTGGCAGAGGGAATGACTAAAATGTCAGACAACATGGGCAAAATGTCAGAAAGATTAGGTCAAGACATAAAGCAATCATTTTTCAAGGTAAGAAGACATTTTCACTAATGTCTAAAGCAAACTTTTTAAGTCAACTGAGATCTGTTGAGCTCTTGCCTAGATTTACCTTATTTTTTTTCAAAAGTCTCAAGTTTTCTAGATACCCAGTCTCATACAGTGAAGAAATCTAAGACAATTAACTCTTAACAGAAATGGATATTAGTATCCATTCAATCCTCATTCTATTCTGGCAGAATTTTGATATTAATTTTGAGAGAATATTTAATGTTAGTAAAGTTAATCATTTTGTTCTGTTTTATTCCATTATGCCATTTTTTGTCATATGGTGCTACTAAATAAAACAAGTAGGTACCATTGTTGCAAATGTGTTATTTTAGTATTTTATTCAGGAAACAAAGCCTCACTCCTCCTGGTTCAGGTGATAAGTGAACACTAGCTGGAAAGGAGACAAAAGCCTTCATCACCGTCTTTGAACCCGTTAATTACTATTAATGTATATGTATATCTGAAAGTTGCATAAAAGAAGTTTCTCAAAAAGCTTTTTGTAAATTAAATTAGCAAATAAAGGTAGTAGATCAAGAACTTTGCTACATTCCTAATTTATACTTTATGTAGAATTTCTGCCTGGTTATTTAAGGTTGTAATCAATATTATAAAAGAAAACAAATAGCTGTAAGAATTTTTTATAGAAGGGAGACTATACATAAATACAGATACATTTTCTTTAATGTAAGAGAGACAAATCCTAAGAGTTTGTGTAAGTCATACTTTTTTGTTCGACTTTTTCTGGTGCTTCATTTTATTTCTAATTGTGGGACTCACACTCATACTGGACTACATCTGGTTTCATGCCGCTCTGATTCTCTTCTTGGATGACTTCCTGCAGGAGTCACTGGCTTTGCTTGTCATCTTTTGCTCGGACATAACATGAAGGAGTTACATGATCTTGATGATCTAGTTGACCTTAATGGTACTTGTAGTGTTGACACATAAATTGTCAGCCAACACTGAGTTTTCTGTCCTTGTCTCCCCATAGCCTCTTTTAAAATTACCTAACAAATGGTTAATTATTTAAACCTGTTCACTTACTCTCAAACACTTTAAGGTAGACAAAGAAGATTGGCGTTCTATTTCCTGGCTGTGCTACTAATTAATCTTTACCTTTCTTTCTTTTAAATTCTTCTTCTAAAAAAATATGGGAGTCTGACTAGCAAATCTCTCCTTCCAACTCAAAAGTGATTATTCCTTTTTAAAGAAAAATAAAAAATCCTTTGGTCACCTTTTAATGTTTGATTTCGTATTTTTGATTGTTCAACTTCGCTCGTATTACACCAAAAATAAAATCAAATTGAAGCTGTTTATTATTTTTGAGACTTTTCTAGTTTATTGTTATATTGTGTTCTTTCTTTCTCTGTGGTAGTATGTTTACATTATTTGCTCTTTGTTTTATTGCTAGGTACCTCCTTTAATTCCTAAGACTGATTCAGATCCTGAACATTGTCGAGTCTCAGCTCAGCTCGATGATAATGTGAGTTAATTTTACTTGGAAGATGACTTTAGCTTTAAATAAAATGTTTTATACAAGGGTGATTCCAAAAGTATTGCTATAAAATCGTGGTAACATTTATTAAACAAAAAATATCAAACTGTGAAGCAGTTGTTTATCAGCATATCCTCCATCTAGATCAATACACTTCTGAAGGTGGCATTTCTGTTTCCCTAGCTGTGACATCTTGGAAGAATTCTGCAGTTCTTGATTTGTATCTTGTCAAAATAAGGGCCTTTTCATCTTTGAAGGACTCAGGTGGTGTTACTCTTTAATGTCCTTGAGTTTGGGGACCAAAAAGAGTCTGGAAGAATCAAGATCAGGGCTTTCCACAGTAAGGTTTTTGATGAAATTTTCATTGGTTAGCCTTTGCTACCTTGAAAAAATTCGTATTGTTACGATGAGAATCAAAGCATTCCTCAGCGCAACTTTGCTACCCTTTTACTCACCATTATGGTTTTTAAGTTCCTTAAAGCTTTTTAACAAGCCCCTATGATGGTCCTTTGTCCTTTAAGAAAATCTATCAACTGCCATTGTTTCCATTCCAACTCTTAGGACCCTATAGAGAGAGAACTGCCTCTTGTGGGTTTCCAGGCCCTGTAGATCTTTATGGACTAGAAAGCCTTATCTTTCTTCTGCAGAACAGCTGTTGGTTTTGAACTGCTGACCTTGTGATCAGGAGCCCAATGCATAATGCACTACACCAGTGGTTCGCAACCTGTGGGTCCCAACCCCTTTTGGGGGTTGAACGACTCTTTCATTGGTGTCGTCTGATTCATAACAATAGCAAAATTACAGTTAGGAAGTAGCGATGGAAATAATTTTATAGTTGTGGGGGGGTCACCACAACATGAGGAACTGTATTAAAGGGCCACGGCATTAGGAAAGTTGAGAACCACTGCTCTTCACCAACAGAGTACAGAAATCCGGTGGCGGGGGGAATGTGGGGGAAGAATCCCATAATCTTTTGACCTCTCGGCCTTAAATTTAACTGGTCCAGCACATCCCTTGGAAGCAATTGTTTTGCCTTGCTCTGTGGATCATATTAATAAATCTAAGACTTATTCCCAGTTACAATTTATACCATAAAATTGTCTTTATTAGCTATGATCTTGCTTAAAATAAGTGTGGAGCGATCAGCTCTTCGAGCTAGCTGATCTTCACGTAACACTTTTGGCATTCATCTGGCCAGAAGTTTGTTGAGGCCAAAATGCTTATTTAATATGAATACTGCTGAAGCAGGTGGCATCCCGGTTCGTTATCACACCAGTGATAATACACTTCCACCGATTTCTGGACCTCAGCCACAGTGTCTTCATTCACCAAAGTCCCCATCGCCTTTCATCTCGTGCCTTGTCTTTGAGATCTTCCTGACCTTCCTTAAAACTCATAAATCTAAGAATGGTTTTATGTGAGGAAGCATTCCTATAAAGTTAATGGCAATGCTTCGATGGTTTGGGAAGATGTTTACTTGAGTTTTGTTCAGTATTTTATGTTAGCTCTGACCCTAGTCTCCTCCACCCCACAACCCAGAGCAAAATCTCTCTTTTTTTAAAAAAACACTTTTATGTACTGAGTCAAATCTATTATTGAGAGAACTCACCTGCAGCCCTCCACTGATTAAGAAGACGGGCTTAAACATACTTTCTTCGAGTAAACCTCTGTATGCATGAGCTGGAACCTTACAAGCAATATTTGTGAAAGATAAGCTCGTGTGCGTTTGTGTGTGTATATATTTGTATAAATAACTACTGATGGGTAACACATTGTACTCTGGAGGCTTAGAGAAGTCTCACACACTGACCCAGACCATATAATTAGTGCTCTGACAAAGGAGCAGCACATTCCCAGCACCCTTTCTTCCTGTCAATACTCACTCCCTCCTGGCCTGGTTTCTGCTCTGACTGCTGCTACTTGTAGACTTTTATATGATAGGTTCTGTAATTTGGCCTGCTTTCCCCTTTTCCGGGGGCGAAAAAATTAGGGCCTTCCTGGCAATACAAAGCTTATAAAATATAAACTATAGCGCAAAATCCAGCATTTAAAAAGTATAAGTATTTGCTTTTATAAGGCTCCTGGATTGTTCCAGTGTACCCCTTGAGAAGGTATTGCCTACTTTGGAAAACATTGCATTATATAAATGAAACTTTTCTGTGTAAAAAGAAAAAAAGAAACTACAGTGTATATTCCTTTAAGTCTACATTTTGTTGACCAGCATTTTGATGTTCTTCATGTTGTTTGGGGTGATTGGGACTTTAGCTTTGTGACTGTATACTATTCTAGTTCGTAAGTACTGGGGACTTCAAAAAGCCTGTGGACAAATGGAATTTAAAGACAACACAAGTTTTCCACAAACTTTTTGAAGCCCCCTCATATCGCACAATTCATTCATTGCAGTTGAATAGTACTACTAGGAACGTTTTAGTGCATGGCTTTTGATTAAAACAAAATACACATTTATGTTGGGTCTAAACCTAGGAGTGAATTGCTGGGTCAGAGGTAACGTGTAAGTTCAGTTTCAGTAGATAATGCCAAATCAAATTGTTCCCCTTACGCTCAGCAGCAGAGCACGAGAGTTCATCGTGCCCCGTACCCATTCCATAGAGTTGATTCAACTCATCGCAACTCTACTTAGAGTTAAGGGTAGAACCCCACTCCATCGGGTTTTCAAGGAAGCAGGCTGCCACATTTTTCTCTGAAGGGGTAACTGGTGACAAGGCCCCTTCCACAAACTACCAGTTCCAAAGATTTTGTGTTTGTTTAAATTTTACCATTCTGATTGTGGTATATCATAATGAATTTGCATTTCGCCAATGATTATTCAAATACTAAACCATTTGTGTACCTTGATATAAGTTGTCTCTGTAGATCTGTTGCCCACTTTTGGGCAAAAAAATAGAAAACCCGTAGAATTGTTTGTCATTACCTCAATGCTTAATAGGAATGCTTTGTACGATTTGAATGAATTCTTCATCAGATACTTTGTACTGCTAATGTCTTCTATTCTCTGTGTATATAGAAATCTTTTCTTTTTGTATTAAAAGATTGTTTTATTGGGGGCTCTTACAGCTTTTATAACAATCCATACATCAATTGTATCAAGCATATTTGTACATATGTTGCCATCATTCTTTTCTAGACATTTACTTTCTATTGAGCCCTTGATATCAGCTCCTTCCCCCACCCTAGTGACCCCTTGATAAATTATAAATAATTATTATTTTCCCATCTTACACTAACTGCTGTCTGCCTTCCCCCATGGTTTCTGTTGTTCATCCCCCCTGGAGGGAGTGTGTGTGATTATGTGTGATCAGTTCCTCCTTCCTCCCGTTCCTCCCCCACCCCTTCCCCCTACCCTTATGGTATTGCTACTCCCATTCCTGTACCTGGATTCCCTGTGTCATGAGCTCTTAACCGTTTGTACCTGTGCACATGCTCCCATCTAGCCCACAGTGAAAGGCAGTCCTGGGGTCATGATAGTGGGGGGTGAGAAAGTCTCAAGGAACCAGAGGACTTTTGTGTGTTTCGTCGGTATTTTACTGTGTCCTGGTTGACTCATCCCTTCCCTGTGACCCCTCTGAGGGAATGGATGTCCCATTGTCTACAGATGGGGTCATTGAAATCTTTTAAGGTTTTCTTTGAAAACCTTTATTATTTTAACATTTCATCATCTTGATTTATAATCTACCTGGATTTAACTTTTGTATATGGGATAAGGTAGGGGTCCAGTTTGACCAAACAGAACAGGCCAATTGAAAAGGCCATTTTCTTCCCAGTATACTCAGTTTCTCATTGTCATAAATCAGATTATTGTTTATGTTTGAGTCTTTTTCTGACCTCTATTTTCTTCAGAAAATTTATTTATTTGTTACTGTGAATTATGTAAAGGTTTACAGAGCAAACCTATCTTTCCCTCAACAGCTGATAAATATTTTGTTCCATATTACTGGTTGTGATTCCCACAATGTAACGTCACTTAATCCACTTCCTGCCTGTGTTTCTTGTTTCCATTCCCCCTCCTTTCTTAACTCTTCCAACCTTGGTTCTTGGGTAAATGCTGCTTTTTTAAAATCTCAAATGATTGATTATTAATATTATCTGTAATTTTAATGTTCCCCTTATACTCTGGTCTCTTGTTTCTCCTCATATTGAGCCATGGGAATGAGTTCAGTTTTAGGCCTAAAGGATGACTAACTAAGGACCATATTTTCAGGGATTCCGTCTTCACCCTCACCCCCACCCCCTACACCACAGTAAGCCTGTGTGTGTGTGTGTGTGTGTGTGTGTGTCTTTGAATTTTGTTTCACACTTCTCTCCCACTTATCTTCTAAGGTGATCTATTTCAGAGCAGGTGGCAGTGGTAGCCAGGCACCATCTGGTTCTTCTGGTTATACTCCCTTTAATCATTGGGCTCACTGTTCCCATGCATTGAGAAATATGCATCACTCTTCTGTGCTCTGAGCAGGAAGAATGCCTTAGTTGGCTACTTAAGACTTTTAAGACTTCAGTCACTACTCACCAAAGTAGAAAGCAGAGCATTCTCTTAATGGACAATGTTATTAAACAGAGTTGTTTTAAAATTAGAACTGTTTTCCTTCTGTTGCCGAATTTCTCCTTAGTAAGCTGTCCTAAAGATATGTTTAATTGGCTTTTGAATATCGTAGAATGTTTTATTTACTAAGTTTTGCTAGTATAGAACCCATGGTATCATACCGTCTGTTACATGTTTTTTTAATAGTTTAGCTGTTCATTTGAGTGTCTTGTGACATTGAGCCATGATCACATTTTAAAGCAGTATTTACTTTGTCTTAGTAATGAAATTAGTTTTCCTCTCCCTCATTGCTAAGGTAAGATTTCAATCTATGAAATGGAGAGTGTCGAAGAAAATGGTTACAACTCAGACTGTTTTCTCTGCACTTAAAATTCCAACATTGAAGAGGTACTAATTAAAGTATCTTAGTGATGAAACAGTTATAAATTACTGACAACGATAGGAAGTTTTATTGAAGTCCTAAATCTCACCAGTTTTTTGCTTTATTTATTTTTGTCACATGTAAGCATTCCAGATTGTCTTCCTATAAGTAATTAGATTATCTGACATAATGACAAGTGTTTTGAAATCTTTAGTTTCTTTGTTTTGCATCATTGAATACTTCCCCGACAAAAATATACAAGTATTTTTCTTGAAAATACCTCATCACTCACCAACCATAACACATCAATCTTGTATTTTATTCTATTAAATACAGAGAGATGTTGAAGATTTCTTACTCCTATAAAAAAGATCCATCAGGTACATAGAGAATGAAGTTAACATTTGCTTTATCAAATGTTAGTACACAAGACCTGACAAGGGAGTCAGATCTTTCCCTATGAGTATCATGAATCTGTTTTGAGAGAAATGATTTTATGACTGTCTTAGAATTTATTAAGCATTACATGGGTATAAAGTTAAATTTTTGTCAAGTTGGCCATCTATTAAATTAGAATGAAATCTCAAATTATGAATGCCTTCTAGTAAATTCTTAACTTGTGAACTTAGTTTTCTAAGAGGAAAACAAGTAGCCATTCATAGTAGATCTCTACCTCAACTAACCCTACACGTATTTCTTCCCGTGGTTTGTCAGGTGGATGACAATATTCCACTCAGAGTAATGCTGCTTCTCATGGATGAAGTGTTTGACTTGAAAGAGAGAAATCAGTGGTTGCGAAGGAATATCAAAAACCTACTTCAGCAGCTTATTAGAGCAACGTACGGTGATACTATTAACAGGTACCACTTTTATTCATTTAATTGAAAATGCAGACTCTAGTTTTACTTAGGTTTTAAACTTTCGCTTCTGGAGTAGAGCACTCTACTCCTCCTCTGGACCTTTAAAGATCATTAAAGTGTACGTGCTCTTAGAGGTAATGTACTTCCAAATGAAGCTGCTTTGGTTGTGAATGTAGTGTTTATTTTGCTCATCGTGTAAAATTTTGAGCTTACACTTTTAAATTATTTCATTTTCAGAAAAATTGTTGACTATGTTGACTGGATGACCTCCCCAGAGCAAGTAGCCGACTCAGTGAAACGTTTCAGGTATAGTTACGACAAGGTCACTGCTGTCAGGTAGTCTGGAGTTTAGCATTGTCATCACTCATTAGCCTCCATTGTTTTTATTTCCTTCCTAACCTAAAAGCTTATTTTGGTCAGACTCTGGCAGACATACAGAAGGATTTATGACAAATACTAGAGATCTTTTTTTCCATGGATATACTGATCTTTCTTTAAGACCAGAATGGGATAAAGGTGAAAGAAAAGTCCTTAAGCTAATCAGCTACAGTTTGGTCCAGGACTGTGCCAGTGAGCTCATGGAGGAATTAATGTACACATTGGCATGGAGCCACACAAGGGAGCTTGAGATGGTTTGTGTAAAAATTCCCTTCTCTCTTAATTTCAGGTTTTCACAGTTTTCCACACACTTTTTGAAGCCCCTTCATTATAATAGAATGCTTATTTGGGGGATAGTTGCTGTGGTAATAACTTCTTTTAGAAGAATTGACACTAGGCTCATTCCGAGGAGGTGGAGATTAAATATGTCCCAAATGTCTAACTTTTCCAAGATGTTATTCTGTTCCATGTTCCTCCCACTCCTCCTCTTAGTGCATTTCCTTACGTCCCTGGCTTCTCCAGTAAGCTGAAGTGTCTCACAGAAAGTCACAAAACTTTCTGGAAATATGTCACCTGGCTGTTTAAGTCCCAAATCCAGAGATGAGGCAGGGCCAAGCCAAATGCAGGGTCCAGAGCCAAATATGCCTGAAAGTCAGAGCAGGTCTTCTTGCTTCTGCGATGCTCAGTCAAGACACAGGGGGGTCACCAAAGGTAGACCTTGATGGAGGTGCCATGTTTTTATCTTTAAGCAGACCATACCCCCAAGGAAAATTGAAGTCACCCCTTCTAGTAGAGTGGAGACTAAGGATACAGCCTAACAATCCTGTAACAGAGAATTTCCTCCAAAATGGGGTTATAACCATAGGCATGTTATTGTTAGGTACCAACCAGTCGGTGTTGCTTCCAAAGTGGAAATGCCTATCTTGGCACATTTGTTTTGTTTCAGGGTAAATGAAGGGTCTTCCTCTAGAGCAGTGGTTCTTGATCTTATTTGTATGGTAGACTCACTTGGAGAACTTCAACTTGTACGTGTCCCAGCCCCAGAGATTCTGACTTAAATCATCTGGAGTACAGCCTGGACTTTTTAAAGATGTGTTTAATGCTCCCAGGTGATTCTAATGTACAAAGTTAAAACCCCACCTATCCTCCACTCCTTCCGGGAGTCTCTGTTCCTCAGATGAAATTCCCAGGTGGAAGTTGCTGCCTTTTGCTGAAAAACTAAGGAACAATTCTCAAGTACATTGTGAATGTAAAGGACAATGGGTTGTTATTATGTGTGAAAGGAATGTTACACTTAATCCAGCTAGAGGCTTAGGTGCTGAATTTGATTTTATGTTGGCTTAGTTATAAAAGGGACTGGAGCAATCTAACCAAAAGAAATTAGCTATTGAAAACTAAGGTGTCCAAATTCCACTTATCATAGGGTTGAATTTTAGAAATACTTTAATCTACGTGGGTTAAGTAAATGCCAGTGGTGTATTTATCTGTTCAATGTCTTTAACTTTAGTATCTGCTAGTGTTTATACATCACTGCAAAACAGAATTCATCTGTTAATTTATGTGTATGTGTCCCATTTCACTAAAGACTGAATCCTCTACTCAGTCACTGCATATTGACTATCATTATGCTGATAAAAAATGTCAGAATAGTTTCTTCTTACTGTTTATATTTGTTTTCTCTAGAAAACCAGCATAGTTTTAAATACTTGTATCTTTAGAAAATGTTTACCAAGTTTATCTGATCTTCTTAAATAGAGATGCATTTTGGCCAAATGGTATTTTAGCAGAGACTGTTCCATGCAGAGATAAATCTATACGAATGAGAACAAGAATTGCTGGAAAAACGAAATTATTTGCAATTATGCCAGGTGAGTGAACACCTTTGGTAAAAATCTCATTGATTTTTAGTTCTCTGCATTTTAAACATTGAGCATGCAATTTTAGCTATCTTTTTATTATAATAATTACCATTTGATGATCTCCTTCAAACCAGGCAATGTGATAGGAATTTTAATGTGTTTATTTAATCTTCAGAACAGTTCTATGAAGTTAAGCTTTGTGAGTGCCGTAGCTTCAGGATGTAAGGAAGCAGAAGTTTGGGGAGGTTAAGAAGTTTGGGTTTCTGACTCAGTTCTGAATAAGTTAAAAGCCTCGACTTTGAACTCTTTATCCCTGTGGCACAGTGGGTTGTAAGCTGGGCTGCTTGCCTGAAGGTCAGCAATTTGAAACTACCACCCGCTCTCCAGGGGAAGAGGAAACTTTCTGTTCCAGTTACGATTGAAAGGCTCTAAACCCATGTGAGCTGGGGCCCTATAAATTGGACTCATGGCAGTAAGGCCTTGAGCCCTTTAGTAATAAGTTTGTAAAATAAATAAAATAGGTGACAGATGGAAGGACTAATAAAAGGACTATTATTAGGTTTTCAGGAAGATTTGTTCTACTGTAAAGAACCAACAAATTCTTTCAAAGAATCCATTATTGAGCTTTATTAAAATATGATTTCCAAAAGAGTATGCATAGCAGCATTTTGTTAGCCTAATTTGCCTAATTTAATGCAGGATACAACTCTCACTGATTTACATTCATTTTGTCCCCATTTGTCTTCTCTCACAAAAGGGTAAGAGAAGTTATATACTATGAAAAGAAATGTATGTGGCTGGAAGGTAATGGTGGTTGTTTGGTTAGTTAATAATGTTCAAAATTTCTAGAAATACCTTCTTCACATTTTATGTATTGAGAGTTTTTAAAATTTTAATATCACGATACCTGTTTTTCATATGAAAATTTATTTGTTCATAAAATTTAATCACCTTTGTCTTCTGTCAGACAATTATATTGGGAATGGACCACATGGCTATTAATTCTACTCTATATACGGCTGTATTTGTGTAGAAATCAAATTAAAGAGAAAATATTCTAGAAAAATAGAAGAAACAGTAACTTGAATAATAATTCATGTGCACCTGATTGTGCTACAAAACCTGAGTTAGTTACAGAGCCAGGAGAAACCTTACTCATTCTGATAAGTCTTATCAAATACCTACAGTGTGCCAGACCCTCTTCTCTGCACAGTCTTTGCTGACTTGGAACTTCCTTTCTCTTAGCGGGAGACAGAAAACAAAACAGTCCATAAATTCAACATATTGTGTGTTAGAGGTGGTAAGTGTTTAAGGAGAAAAATCATGCAGGCAAAGAAAATGGGAAGTGTTAGTTGAGTTACAGTTTTAGATTGGGCATCCAGGCAGGCCCACTGAGCTGATGACATGTGTGTGAAGACCCGAAGAAAGTTAGAGAAGTAAAAAAAGGGGGGAAAAAAATATATATATATATGTTTGGTTTTATATGGCCATAATCCCATGTTTCTTGTTTTTGCAAAATCCACATGCCCTGGTGGTGCAATATTGAAAGTGCATGTCTACTAACTGTAAGCCCAGCAACTCCAATCACCCATGGCTCCACAGAGGAAATAAGCGGTGGTCTGCTCCCATCAAGATTGCCATGTAGGGACCCTGTGGGGGCAGTTGCACTCTGCCCTATAGGGTCACTGTGAGCAGGAATTGACTCAAGGCCACACAACAAACACAATTTATTTCCAACTCTACTGTACAGTTAGATGCAAACCCTTTGCATGTTGGATATTTCTTTATAAACAACAAGATAATGTTTAATGCTATTGGAGTCCTGACTCTGAATTACTAAGAATATCTTATCTCTATAATCACATACCTGTCCTAAACTCAGTGTTACCTCTGAGTAAATCCATTGCCTTCGACTTGAGTTCAACTCAAGGTGGCCCTGTAGGCAGGGTAGAATTGCCCCTTTGGATTTCTGAGATGGTAAATCCTAACAAGATCAGACAGCCTCATCTTTCTCCTTTGGAGCAGCTGCTAGGCTCAGATGGCTGACTTTTCTAGTAGCATTTGCGCATGTAACCCACGACACCAGTAGGACTCCATTGCCTGTGAGTGCACTCCCCATTTGCTCACTGTGGCACTCACAGCATTGCCGGTTTTCCCCTTCCTTTCTTACAGAAATCCTAAGATTTAACCAGACTGAACTGCCTCGACTTTTTGAACATTACTTGTTATTTTTCACATACTGCTCTGTTCTGTCTCCCAAGGCTAATACTTCATCTGTTTGCAGCTATCACAGTCCTTCCCAGGTGGCAAAGTCTACTTCAGTTGGTACTTCCTTGAGAGAACTATTTCTTATTTATCCCATCAGGAATTTTTCTCCCTGCAAGCATGGTTACACTTTCAGCATAACTGATACTCTTGATACTGTGCCACAAGTTTTTAGAGATTCTGGACCAGTTTGCACACATCTCATTTCCTTATAGCTTTTCTCACTGTGCACTAGAATAAGCATATTTATAGAGTGCTTTAGAGTTTGTAGTATCTCATTAACTCTATAGATCCTAGGACTACGACAGCACTGATGATCATAAGCCCTCACTGTACAGATGAAGACACAGACTTGGTGTGTATAAGTACCCCATGAATAGGAAGGGACAGGATTGTGGCTCTAACTTGGGAGTTCTGAGTCTAGGTCCCACTTCTTTCTCCTGTGTGCCCTGTCCCTTGGATCATGAACAGATGGATGCAAACCTGCATGCAGATGTGCATAAATGAATGCTGAGCTCCTCGTAATACTAGTTGAAATGTATTCATTGGATGCCTACAATTTAGCATTCCTCTGCAGTTTACACACTTTATTAACGGTTATAATGTAGTTCCTTTGAGTTCTGAGTTGTGGTTTTTAATTTTTTTTTATTCTTGGGTCCTCTTTTAGATGAACTAAAGCACATTATTGGGGCTGAGACAACAAGGAAAGGCATTCTTCGTGTTTTTGAAATGTTTCAGCACAACCAGTTAAATAGGAGAATGGTTTATGTCTTCTTGGAAGGCTTTTTGGAAACCTTATTTCCACAATATAAATTTCGGGAACTTTTCAACAAACTGCATTCACGGTCAAAGCAGATGCAGAAATATAAACAGAAACTTCAACCGACTCAAGCGCCTTCTATTCAGAAAAGGTGACACTCCAATCTGTGAAGCTGGTGTTCATTTTCTTCAGGACTAATGGTATGGACACGTCCTCTGGGGCTTAACTCATATACTGCTGTATCTGCACCAGTCTGTAGTGTCTCAAAGTAGATGAGTAATACAGCCATTAAGACTGTGGTTCTTCTCATCCCGTTTGTAATCCAGCCACTACCAAGAGAGGTTCCCGGGTCTTAAATGATTTGGTGCATCGTTGTGCAACACAGAGTATACTGCCCCTTGTCTCAAGCCAGAAAGATGTCTGTTTCTTCCGTTTCAAACTAATCTGCGTTCTCCAGCAGTGACGAAGTGCCAGAGTGTATATATGAGAATAAAGGAAAGCACAAAACCATGGGTTTCGGATAAATCAACTAATTTGTTTAACAGTGGGCATCTGTGCAATGTATGATTTGAGGGATTTGCTTTGCATACTGATTTTGTAGGTTAATGTCAGCATTTTGATAAAGTATAGATTCGTCAGGTGAATGATCTATGGAACAACTGTTTCAAGTCTAGGGAAAGTGACAGAATGCCCTTAAAATATGAAGTAAGTTTATACTAAATGGCAGTTTGTGACGTAAAGCAGTGTAAAATAAAACCAATTAAAATCAGAATTTGATTGGATTTGTTGTTCAGCGATAGCAAACACTTTTAACTGATTCTTGTGTGCTTAAAGGGCTCCAGTTTGCTCTTAGGTACTCGGTCGTAAATTTGCTTTGGATTTTCTGTGTGCAGAAAGAAGCATGTGAGGGCTTTATTTTAGTTCCAAAATTACTACACTTTTATCTTTAGTAGATTACTGATTATGCAGGAAAGAGTGTAATTCTTTGGAAGAACTGCCAAATCATTCTGTCCTTCTAAAAATGTGGAAATGATAAAAACAGTACCCTATTGAAGTTACCATATGCTAATTTTAAATTGTGTGATCTAGACATACCTTAAGTAATTAAAAACATAGCAAATCAAAGGATTAAATGAATTTATTAGTCATATGAAAATATACAAATTCCTAATTCTATTACATTGTACATATATGAAAATAATGAAAACAGAATTATAATATTTTTAAAATATGCTTTTATTTATATTATGCATAATGTAAAATTCTAAATAAAGGCAAAACTCTTCTGTGTATCCGTTTAAGTCCCTAATTTTATGCCAACAACAAAAACAAATACCGTTTCAAATTTTGGAGCCTCTAAATTTCATATAGTTTTCTCATTTCCATTTTGCCCATCCCACAAGTCTGCACATCCCTTGTGTGCAGGATTTCTGCATAGTTTTAAATGTTTCCATTGATTAAGGGTTTGGATGTGTCCACTATGTTGTTGTTTCAGAAATGTTTAACACTAAAACCTTAAAATAGTGAAGCTACATATCAGACCACTGAGCCAAGATCCAGGTATTAAAAGCAAGTCTAGGTGCTGAAGATAGAGGGTGGAGTTTTGGTATCCCAGTGGATCGGGAGCTTGAAGATTGGAACAAGATAACACAGTCTAGTTTTCACCTAGATCCGACCTACAAACTGAAGCCTATAACAGACTAAAACCTACCTTTAAAGCTTTATAACAGTCATCATATTTATTAGTAATGCTGTTGTGGGTACTTAGAGTATGCACAAGTTCAGCATATATTGCATGTATTCAAAAATAAGTACATGAAATCCCCTTCATTGCAATTTGCAAGTGAGAAAAGATCTTTAGTGACTCTGGTGGAAGAAATCGTGTTTCTTCTTCCCAGTGTGTCTCCCCACGCACACCCCTTTCCCATACCTCAGGCGGAGTTGTGAAACAAGCCTGTCGGAAGCATCAGCATGGCCATAAATGCAATGTATCTGATGTCCCCCTGCCCATTTCAAGTGTCTTTTTGCCATGAGTAAATCTAGCAGTGTACAGAAGACTTCGTGTAAGAGCCTGCCCTGTACACATGAAACCTGTTCCTCTGTCATGTGAGGAACGCTGGGTGTCAACCGGGGAAGAGAGGTTATGCAAGATTGACGTTTTCAAGACAGAACCCTGCAAGGTAACTGCAGTCATACCAAAAAATCATTTGATTAGATGAGTTTTTAAAAAATATGTTTTGTTTAAAGGAGTTTATATTTCAAAAGCAGAATATCCAATAGTAGTTTATGTAAATGGTGGTGAATCTCCTCTGTGCACGTCTGTGCTTTCACATCAGAGAGAGTGGTGGTCGTGCTAACATCAGAGAGACTTTTGGATGACTTGGTTAAGCTGTGTGTAAAATATTTAACCCATAAGTCAAGTACAGTGTACAATGTTTAATAAAGCTATTATATTTAATGCACTTACTGTGTATATTAATACATACATGAAGAGGCTTTGTGTCTTCTGATATTTGATTTCTGAATGGGTTTTTAAGTCAGTGGTGCCTTTAGGCAAGAACTTTCAAAAGTAATCATTCTTTGGGTTTTCTAATTTTTCAGGTAATGGATATTTGGGAATCATCACTCTAACTTACAGTTCATTCACCTGCAAAATAGATTGTATAATTAACTATAGCACGTAGGTGGACATTTCCTACAATTAGGATGTTCTGAATAGTTGCTGAAAACAATTGTGCCATTGACCAATGGATGCACTTGGTTAGCCTTAATTTTTTTTTTAAAAAACATAAAAAAACTTTCTTGACTATTTCAGTTGACTCATTTTACGTTTGTGCTGCTGGTGTTTGGGGTGGGGAATGACTCAAACAGTTAAGTGCTACCAGAACTTGTACCAATTTTTTAAAAACTAACTAAATTTCACAATCTATCATTTTAATTTTGTGCAATATTTTCACTTAATGCATGTGTATTGAGTAATTGTAAAATAAATGGATTTTTTAATGTTTTGAGATCTAGTTTAAACTGTCTTCTTAACCCAACAACATACATTCCGTTGTTGCTGCATCCTTTTATTTAAGGACTTGTTTTAAAAGTCTCTTTGTCACTCCTTGTAGAGTTATTTTGTTATTAATAAATTTTGCTTTTAGGAGCATGACTCCTGTATTTCAAGGGAAAACGAGAAAGAGCACATCTTAGGACTCTAATTGTTGAAATAATAACTTGTGCATAGCGTTGTACACTAAGCGTCAACTGTGTGCCTAATTGTTCTGTCAACACTGTCCTTCCTTAAAAAAAAGAAACAACAATCAGAATGTTAGTTATTTTTATTGAACTAAAAACAAAGGATTAAGCATTTTATTTGGTTTGTGTTATGTTCTGTCCATTAGGAAATACTAATAAAGTATTAAGAAATATTTTTGTTTCATTTATTTAGTTGTGAGATATATATATATACATATATATGTTGTTGGAAAACTGTTAGTCTTTTGTTTTTACTGAGTGTGTATTTTCTTTACATTTTAGAAATCATGCAATTCAAGTTTCAGGTTGATAGATGAGCATTATTGACTTATAACTAGTGTAAAAGGAATTTATATTTTCCTTTTGTGAGCAAATAACTTACTACGACGTTAAATAAACTGTATACTTTAAAAAAAATAATTTTATTGGGGGCTCGTACAACGCTTATCACAATCCATACATCCATCCATTGTGAAACTGCATACTTTTCTATCACAGAAAATTATCATGTAATTTTCACATAGAGGGGAGTGTTTAAAATTAATAATCCATTAAAAAATGTTGCCTCAAATTCATATTTTATGTAACATTTAGATGTTTTCAGGACTAAAAAGGAATGGATTGACTACTCAGTAGTTAAGCGTGGGTTGGCCATCTTTGCAGCCTTTTTGGAGCTGTATCTGGAAACGCCTCAGAGATTAGATCTGATTGCTGGCATCTCGTCGTGCACCTGGCACAGCATTTCTCCCAGTATTGCTGCCAAATATCGGCCCCTTCACAATACTCTTGTGTCATTTATGAAAACAATCTACAATTCAAAACCCCAAAATGTCTCTTCATAATTCATCTGATCATATAGAAGTTTTGAGAAGTTGTGTATAAGAAAGCCTGTTCAACTTTACTTACTTAATTTCATTAATTGAATTAACCACAGAATTTTGGGGGGTCATGAACACCTATTCCTAGTAGCCTGAAGACAGTGCCCCCAAGGAACTTAGTTTGAAAAATGTTTAATCGCCCAGTTGTTGTCAAGTGGATTCCAACTGGTGGCAACCGTGTGTGTGTGTGTGTGTGTGTGTGTGTAGAACTGCTTGTTTGGTTTTCAGTGGCTGATATTTTGCAAGTAGATCAGCAGGCCTTTCTTGTGACATTTATTTGGCGAACTTGGACATCCAATGTTTTGGTTAGCAACTGAGCACGCTGACCGTTGACATGCTCTCCTTGTGAAAGGCACTCCATTTGAACTCATGTGAAGATGTTTGGGCAGAGGGTTGTTTTTTTTTTTTAAAAAAGGTAAAGATGAATCTTTTGTTAGGAAAGATAATACATAAAGCCAATCACCATAAAAGCCAGTGAATCTGGGATACAAAACATTCTCATGAGCCTTGGTAGCATAGTGGGTAAGTGTTGGGCTGCTGACCATAAGATTCTAGCAACTGCTGCGGGGAAGGATGAGCGTGAAGAGCCACAGTCTTGGAAACACAGGGGCAGCTCCCCCTGTCCTGTAGGGTTGCTGTGAATTGACATCAATTCGATAGCAGTAAGAGTAAGTGATCATTCCCATGATAAGTTTCAAGTTTCATTTTTGGAAGAATATAAGAAGTTAACAGCTGGTTACACGGATGAATTAACTAATTAAACTTGTCCCTAGATACCAGAATAATGAATTCATTTCATATAACGTGCATTTCATAAAAATTGGGAAATGCATGTATCCTGGTTCTTGCCGAGGTGATCAGAATAAAGAAATGGCATACATTAAAATTGTTAACAGAGTGTGCCAGGTATTGACCCATATTTATTTATAGAGGCTGTGCTTCCTCTAGAAGAACTCACAACAGGTATTTCCCAAGGGGAAAAAGACCTAAAGTTGCATTTAACAACTTGTGTCTGCCTTCCAGTGCACAATGTAAGAAAGTTGGTATGCATGAATATTAATTGGTAGATGTAACATTTTCCATAAAAAATAATGGAATAAAACAATATGCTGGAGGCCCCCAAAAGAACCAGTTCCTTTCATAAAATAGGAGAAAGCATGACTTAGGTTTTTTGCATGAAAGAATATAGAACAAGGCCAAAGAGAAAAGGCACATGGTTTGAAGCCTGAGAAACCAGGTGTTATTTGGCCAGACTTAATGCCTCTAGTAAGTGGTGACAACTGAAATGTGGACCAGCTGAGGGCTTTTGTGTGCGCGTGCACTGGTCAAATAGGCATTTTCTGCCTGATGAGTACCTGAGTTCTATCCTGGAAGGAAAGCACATTTTCAGCCAAATGTATGAGGCATTTGGGGAATGATCCAGCCTCTCCTGAAATACAAACTCCCAGATGCCAGCCAAGGGCCAACTTTACTAGCACACCCTTCAAAGGAGAACAGGTTCAGGCCTGCTGTGGATATAAAAGTTATGTTTACACTCAACCTATTAAGTGTTCAATAGCATGAAAAGGTTTGGGATATTAAGAAAATTAGCAAGCTGACAGGAAGTGAGCACCTGATGCTGGGAAAAGGGTAGAGCACACGTAACTGTCCTGTCGCAAACCTTCAGTTTGTAAGAGCAAGTGCAAGAGAGTGGGGAGCACCATAAATGTGATGTGGTTATTACATATTGTAATCTGAGCAGCAGGAGAAATAGTATGTTATATCCAGTAACTATGAGCATGACAAACAGTTACCTAGACTTACTATATTTCAAGTGTAGGAACTATGGGAAAACTTAACATTTCCCCCAAGTTTCACAGCTTCGGGTAAGTGTCCACTGTTCCCAACAACGCTGCTGACATTTAGGGGCTGCATACTTTGCTGTGAGGACTGTCATGTACGTTGTTGGAAGGTTTGCAGCATCTTGATAAATGCCGTTAACAACCTCTCATCCCCAGTTGTGACCACTACGTGTCTTCAGATACTGCCAAATGACAGCTGGCTCTTAGTCAAAAAGACAAGCTAGTGACTGAGGACCCTTCACTGTGGACAGCCTCATGTCTTCACTGTAAGCAAACGCCTGACAAGTTTGGCTTGCGTCGTAAGGAGAATGGAGACAGAATGCCTAACTACATGGGGCAAACAGCAAGAGCAAATATTTTACGTGGCTTTCTTTTAAGTAAGCAACCCTTAGCTTGGCATCAGGGCAATTTGTAGCCTGAAATTTAAAATAAAATAGGGTGGCCTTGTCATCTGACCTACAAAATTAATGAAGTCTTGAATACCAGAGATAAATGACTCCCTAACAAAATGACAACCTGTGACTCTCAGTGCTACTGTCAGATGTGAGGTGGCATCGCTATGGGAGAAAATTGTGAATTGTATGAGAAAAAGTTGTGCCAGTTCCAGGACAAAGCCCACTGTGAACTCAGTAGCTTTGGTGCTTCTAGGAAGTTTTCGTTCAAATACTTTCACTTTTTTTCAGTCCATCCCCCTAAAACCTGAAAATCCCCTTGCTGTTTTCTTGGCAGGTAAACACTTCTGACTACTCTTGTCTCCCAGGCTGCCCTTGGCAGGTGGAAGACCCACTGGTTGTGGCCCACCGGCCATGCTGGTTTTGCCTGTGAGATGTGTCCCTTGGGGTGTCTGTAGGCCCTTGTTCCAAGAAGAATTCCGTCCAATAATGAGAGCTTTCACCCCTGCTTGCTTTGTGTTCTGGTCCTCTGTCCCCTGACTTCTGTTCTTTTTCTGTTTTAATTGCCTGCTCCTAGTTTGGATTAGTTCATAACTGTGTTATTTCTGAATTGGTGAAAGCAATGTTGGGAAGCTGATTTTTATAGTCAGGCTTGATTCTCTGCCTTTTTTTTGGCGGCGGGGCCGGGGGTGGGGTGGGGTGGGGGGTGCTGTCTAAAAGATTCTAAATACCTGCTAGCATTTCAGATACAGGTTTACCTGTGAACGCAAGAAGCTGTTCATGGTGCAGCCTACATTCAAGGTGGTATATCTTCAGCTCATGGTGGACTCCTCTACATGTCTCATTTACACAGTATCGTGAGCAAATTTTTTTTTTTAATTAAAGTTCATGCCCCCTGGAAAGAAGATAGCTTTCTGAGACTGTGCCTCTCGCTCCTTGAAAGCTTCTGCAACAATTTGGTGAGATTTTATTCTTTTATTTTTGATTCATAGACGGAAGTGTGTGTGTGTGTGTGTGTGTGTGTAGCTTAAGGGGTGCCCTTTGTAAAGAAAAGAGGCATTTTACAAGTGATTTGTTTATCATTGTAAATTTTTCTGTCTTTTTGCCTAGGCATTTTCCCACATACTGTTTCTCCTGTAAATTAATTGGGCATATAATAGTTAAATGTACACTACAGGGATTTCTAATTTTAAAAAAATTAAAAGATTAATCATCAAATGAGAGAAATTAGCCTTATTTGGTTTTTAGAGTAAGGAATTGAGAGATGAGTTATAGCAATGCATATATATGAGAATAAGCAACTATTTCTACAAAAGCATAGAAACCTGTATTTTAAAAGAGTGTCAAAGTGTGGAGTAATTAGAGTGTTTCTCATGTATGTCTATACACCTCTGAAGGCAGTGTTTCCATCTCTTTTAACCCTTCCCTGAAGAATTCTATGCGCTTTGATTTATCATACATTAAAACAACAGTTTTGACCTCATGGGGGAACCTAGATGATGTTTGTTTTAAGTGTTTTTAAGTTTGGGGAACAAAAAAGAAATCTGAAGGGCTGTAGAATGGATAGGGTAAGGTTTTAAAATAAAATTCTAGAAGGACAGTGCTTGCTGTTCTGGAAGCATGAGTAGGTGCATTGTCATAATGGGAAAAAATGTTCTTTGACACAATTTTCCTGCCCCTTTGCTTACCAATGCAGTTTTCCATTTCTTTGTAATTTGTTCATTAGCTCCCATAATCATGCTGTGTCGTTCAGGAAAATCTATCAAGATTATCTTTCAAACAGGAGCCATAGCCTTCTGAACTGAACTCTGCCTTACGAAACTAAAACAAACATGTTACTGATAGAATTGGTCTGCAGCCATCCATAAACTGCAGAGATGTGCATTAAATTTGGAATAAACTATGTGAATCAGAACTCCGTTAGCAATATGATTTTGCTTACCCTTATATGTGTTATGGAAGGGGAAAGAGAATGTCTAACCTAGCTGAAGAAGTTTCATGACTCTCTGAACAACCTGTTGGATGCTGAGTACCTATTTTTTCTTCTTTTAAAAAAAAATCC